AGAAGTTATAATTTGTTCCGCTTGGTAACAGTGCCAATCGAGAGCCTATATAGATGCTTTTTTACAATTTGCGAATAATAATTTAGTTTTAATCATCTGCTGATGCGCATCAACATGATTAGCGAAACATACGTCCAGAGTTTAGGTTTTCTTTATATAGATTATAGATATCTTTATATATTTTAGATAAGTTGAAGCAGATTTAAATGCTCTTTCAAAATATATTAGGGTTTCCTATACCTATATGGCTCAGATTTTGAATAAAAAGCGATTTTTTAATAAAATAGCAATCAAGATGGCTGGTGTCGCCATGGCAGTTTGCTAGTAGTAGCAATAGTAGCAATTTTCAAAATCGACATCAGTTTATGGACTTTATTTAAATTTATAACAGTTTACTTTTTATTTAATTTACCTACAATAGTTTAATAAGTCAGTATTTATTATTTTATCAAGAAAAATAAAGAAGTAGTTCTTTGATTTATATTACGATGACTTGTAGATATATTGGATTTTCTATAAAAGAACCAATTAAGGCAAATTCATTTTCACTATCAGCTCTGCGCAATAGGAAAAGTAGTTTTTCAAAGGAATGCTTGTCCAGAAAATTCCTATTTGGATATATTTGAGCATAAACCCTTCAGGCCAACAAGCAATTGTCCTCACAAATTAATATCATTAGTAACATCCATTAGTTCCGCCAGCAGATACGGCTTTATTTTTCTTGATAAAATAATAAATATGTACTTACTTATTATAGGTAAATTAAATAAAAATAACCTGTTATAAATTTAAATAAAGTCCATAAACTAATGTTGATTATGAAAATAGCTACAAGTGTGTGCCAGCAATCTTGATTAGTTTTATTAAAAAATCGCTTTTTATTCAAAATCTGAGCCATATAGGTATAGGAAATCCTAATATAGTTTGAAAGAGCATTTAAATCTTCTTCGACTTATTTAAAAAATATATAGTGTTGCATTTGAAATAACGAAGTTTTTATGTAAAATAAATATTTAAAATAGACCAGCAATTTTTGATACCCCTGTATACATTTAAGGAAGCAATAACATTTTTTAGTAAAGTTTATTTCTCTGGCTTCAAAGTCACCACAAGAATTAATTCTGAAACGTAATGTACAAGGCGTTGACGAACTTTTTTATTATAGCATGCATATTTAAATATTTTTAAATATCTCAAAAACCAAAGCTTTTAAACATATTAAACTCTTATAATAAATGTCTTATTTTATGTCCAAGAAAACAAAAATAAAATAAAATACTGGGTGTTCCATAAGAAAAAATATGACTTTGGTGTGGATCTTAGTTCTGACACACCCTGTACATTTGAAAATAATTTTAAATTATGCACATTGTCTTCCCACATATACCCCTAAAATATTTTGTTTCTACATCTTCCCGTTTTCGTATAATCAACCGAGACGAATGAGGTGTGCCACCCTGTATACTGTTTTGGATCTTTTCGTCCCTATCCATTTCTCGAAAGAAACCGTCACAACGCTTGCCTTTATAAAGAAATATATTTTTTTAATAAGTTCAGCAACCTAACTCGCCGACTTTGGCCGGCGTCACAAGCCGCCAGGTTTGCCCAGTTTGGTGTAGTACCGGCATAACATCAAAGTTTCCAACCTCAATCGTGATCTGCCTTGTATTTAATATGAAATAAAGTAAAGACTGTTCAACGAGACGGAAGATTTCGACAGACGACATTCGCCTATCAATGTCAGGCATTATTTCATTGAACTGACTTTACACTTTCATGTGATGTTGCTAATAAAGAAAACTAGTCTGTTCAGAGAGAGAATATATTTCTCCCAAAAAATCCTTTATGGGTATTTCGCCACTGCACTGCAAGCAAATCTACAAAATAAAATAGTTATTTTATTGTAAACACTTCTGCGTTAAACCTAAACGGACGCTGCTTGTCAGAAGTTATGTTTACAGTAATACAAATTTGCCTAACAATAATTAATTCAATGTACAGGATGAGTCAACGATAGAGTAAAGTCCATTTTCTCATTTGTTTCGAGGTTTACAAAAAAATGTTAAATACAAAAGATATAGGGAAGATTAAGATACACATTTTAAAATTATTATAGAGTATACAGGGTGCTTCAAAAAAGTGTGGCGGATATAACATATGTTTTTTTAAAGGCCAACAACCTATTTTTTATTTCATTTTTAGATTCTGCGTAAAATTCTATAACTTTTTTATATATAATGTTATATACCTAAAATTAATAGTTTTTGTAATATTTAAATTTGTTTATACAAATGTTAAATTGCAGTGTGGTAAAAAATTGTCAGTGGTACCATTGTTTCTGAAGTTGGAATACCAAAATTTGGTATGAGAGTTCTATAGAGATTAAAAAGAAGATATGTTAAGATATTTTAGTTAAATGCTACAGGGTGTTCAGAATATATTTATAAATTTCAACTACTTAAAATTAAAAAATATAAAAATTTTTAAATGGTACACCCTATGTATTTTGATTTTTTCTGATAGATTTTGCAAAGCTCTTCAACTTTTATTAATTATGTCATATACCTATTTTTAATAATTTGCGATTTATTCCAATTTTTTCTATTTTTACCCATATCTTTAATACAATTACGCTATAACATCATAGTTACCATGACAAAAAATAATAATTATTATCAAAATTTCATGTCTGTTAAGGAAGTTAAGAACAAAAGGTGAATTTTAGTTTAACTTGTTGTAATAAGTATAAATGTTAGAGGTAGAGGTAATAGTTTCAGATTTTCCTGAAAATGGATTAGTCAATGTGACTGATATACACGAACAAGCCAAAATAAACATATTTTTTGGTTCAGTACTATATATTATATAGTACTTTGCTAAGTACTACAAGAATAGATGTAGATTATCTAGAGAACATTTTCATATTATATTATATTATAATATTTTCAGTGTGTAATGGGACGGTTTTGTGGCAGTAGTAATATTGGCTTGACGAAATAAATTATAAACCAGAATTACTACGAGAACAAAAACTTTACTGTATGTCGGAGAAAATTTCAATATCAGTAGTCGTCAACAATTAGGTAATCTAGTTAGAATTACCATAATCTGTGGCTATTCGGCCCGACGGAAAATCCAAATGTCATCTTTCATAAGATAGAAATACACCAAGAAATTCACGACGATTTTAGTTTATTTGAGTAAAGTTAATTAATTTTGACTAATAATAACATTTGTAACTGATTATTAAACTACTTATTAAAAATAAGTAATAAATATGTTTGTTTTGTTACGGTAACTATGATGTTATAGCGTAATTGTATTAAAAATTAGGGTAAAAATAGAAAAAATGGAATAAATCGCAAACTATTAAAAATAGGTATATGACATACTTAATAAAAGTTGAAGAGATTTTCAAAATCTATCAGAAAAAAATAAAATTTATAGGGTGTACCATTTAAAAAATTTGAGATTTTTTAATTTTAAGTAGTTGAAATTCATAAATATATATATTTTGAACACCCTGTAGCATTTAACTAAAATATCTTAACATATATCTTCTTTTTAATCTCCATAGAACTCTCATACCAAATTTTGGTATTCCAACTTCAGAAACAATGGTACAACTGACAATTTTTTACCAGATTGCAATTTACCATTTGTATAAACAAATTTAAATATTACAAAAACTATTAATTTTAGGTATATAACATTATATATAAAAAAGTTATAGAATTTTACGCAGAATCTAAAAATAAAATAAAAAATAGGGTGTTGCATTTAAAAAAACATATGTTATATCCGCCACACATTTTTGAAGGACCCTGTATACTCTATAATAATTTTAAAATGTGTATCTTAACCTTCCCTATAACTTTTGTATTTAACATTTTTTTGTAAACCTCGAAACAAATGAGATAATGGACTTTACTCTATCGTTGACTCACCCTGTACAAGGCGTTGACGAACTTTTTTATTACAGTCATGCATATTTACATATTTTTAGTAAAGTTAAAAGTTTTTTTTAAGTTTAACGCCAGAAGTGTTTACAAAAAATAACTATTTTATTTTGTAGATTTTATTGCAGTACGGTGGCGAAATACCCATAAAGGATTTTTTTGGAGAGATGAATCCGCCACATAGGTATAGTAAACGCCACGAATGTTTGGGAGTGATTCATCGCTTGATGAAGTTAGAATCGACACGCCCGCTATCATTTTTCCATTAAAAACGTAAATTTTTACCGCAGACGTAGGTTTTTAAAGGCCCAGTCTAATCATCTACCTGCGCTCCTCCTACTTATTCTAAAATGTTAGCGTGATTGACAAAGACGATACTATATCGCGTTTCTTTGATTGATTCGTTTTTGTGCGTCAGTCCATTGGTGTGCTTGCAGTGTGAGCAATGGGGCATTCCAGTTTATATTTATAACCAAATATATGTTTTGACAAGACTTTGACAGTTAAAACAACAAATTACAACAGATTATATATTGATTATTATATGACTTGAAACACCACGGCACTGGAATTAAGTTTTATGTGACCTTGAACATATTAGTTCACATGGTAGCGACCGATATATCACACCCAAACATTCGTGGCGTTTACTATATAGACATTTATTAGAGAATATATTATTTTGACAAATGAGGTCCAATATCTTTTTTCGCCGAACAGACTATACATTCGTCAAATGTTTGAGGGTGCAGCCACATTATCCTAAAAACGGCGTATCGGCGTAACGGGCGTAATGACCTTGAATGGATTTCCAGTAATTCTATTGGCTGAAATATTCATCTGTCAGAAATTTTATCTGTCAAATTCATCTGTCAAAAATTTTAGCCAATAGAATTACTGGAAATCGGTTCAAGGTCGTTACGCCGTTAGGCCGATACGCCGTTTTTAGGATAGTGTGGCTGCACCCTGAGACATACTGCCACAATTGTATCGCTGATGAAATCATATTTTAGAATATAAATTAAAGTAGTTTTTACATACCTAAGAGATCGGCGAGACGTTCCAGAGCCCTTTGTACCCCAGGTATATTCAGCACATCCATGACCATTGGAAATTTGCTAACTTTCTTCATTAATCCCAAAAATTCAGAACTTATGCTATGGAAACGAGATGTTTCGACGGGCAATAAAGTTTTAATGTCGGCACTTCCAGAGAAAATACCTAAAAAATTTAAATTTCAACATATTTCATATCATTTTAGAATAGAAAAAAAACGCACCCTCTAAATAAACCCATCTCCTCTGGACATCGATCCAGACGTCAAATAGGGCATTAATTCTGTTCAGTTTCTCTTCCCAAGTTAAAGCTTCTTCCTCAAACACTTTATAGTAGGGGGAAAGTTTCATGGCAGCCACGGAATTTATATGTTCTTTTACCTATAAAAGATATGTAAAAAAATATGACATACAATCTAAAAAAAACGGCGCCAAAGTTGGCTTGGAAATGAAGATCTCCGTAATTTTAAATGTAAAATTACATAGAAAATGTCATATTTTTTTTAATAAGACAAAGATAGGCCAGGAAACACGACCTTCACCTGCTTCGGACTGTCAAATTTGAAACAACTGCTAGATCTTATTATTTTATTCTATGGTAACCTTATAAATAATTACCAGAATATATTATATATTCGATACAAATTAAACTAGAATATTAAATAATAGTTTGTTTCTAATCACCAAAATTATTTAATACTTTACTATTAGAATATAAACGAAAATAAAATAAAAAAAAGTTTACCCCGAGCCCGTATTGAACTCTGGACTTCTCGCTTTATAGGCTGAACGTTTTCGCGCCTGTATTTATACTCAATACTTATTGTGAGACAGGAAATTGTAGAGAGAAACAAGCCCTATAACATAGGATACAACATTTTAATGAACAGCGCTTTGCATAAAATCAATAAATTAAAAAATATACGAAATAGTATACATGTACTGATTTCTTTCGAAAATCGAGAACTATGAAACTATGATCCCTTCCACCGACACAAACGGTACATTGTGAGACAGGAAATTGTAGAGAGAAACAAGCCCTATAATATAGGATCCAACATTTTAATGAACAGTTCTTTCCATAAAACCAATAAAATGAAAAATGTACAAAATAATATACATGTACTGATTTCTTTTGAAAATCGACAACTATGAAACTATGAACCCTTCCCGGACACAAACGGTACATTGTGAAACAGGAAATTGTAGAGAGAAACAAGCCCTATAACATAGGATACAACATTTTAATAAACAGTGCTTTCCAAAAAATCAATAAAATGAAAAATATACGAAATAATATACTGATTTCTTTCGAAAATCGACAACTATGAAACTATGATCCTTTCCCTGACACAAACGGTACATTGTGAGACAGGAAATTGTAGAGAGGTATTTAAAGGACAATAAAAATATTGGAACTTTTTTCAATGCGCAGTAGTGAACGCAACGCCTATCGGCAGCGAGACGGTCTGCCCGCTGTTCCAGAGGGCATAGTAAAAGATATATCAAAGAGCCAGCTTTTTTATCCAGACGTTGCTAGCTCTCATACTATAATCCTACTATAATCTATACATAAAAATTCGATATATTATTACAAGAAAATTTACCTTATTGAAAAGATCGTCCCATCCTCTTATAAGCTTGCACTTGTTCTGATAATTAATCAAATCCAGTTCGTAGGTCTGCCAAGATTCCCTCACTTGCTTCAAGAACTCTTCCAAAGCCATTTCACCTTGGGCAATCAGAATGATATCTTTTACAATAGATTCGTTTTTTTGCAAGTTCACGTCCCACACTTGACCCAAAGTCAGATCGCTGAGCACCCAGTTGACGCGGAGCTGTTTCATCAGCTGTTTCCAATGACGTTCCTTTAAGGCATCGGATTTCAGTTCAACGATCAGCATGTTGACTTTGGTGCAGTTCTGGAGCATTTTCTTGACGTATTCATATGACGCGTATTGCCGTAAACGCGCGGGTAGTTCTTTAAGTTGCGTCGACATGGTATCGAGTTGCTGGCGAAGTTTTCGTGGTTGAACAGATAACCTACAAATAAATTAACAAACTTAAAGCTTCATTCAGAACCTCGCAATTAGTGGAATTAATTAGTGGTTTCAATTATCAAATTCAAATTCAAATAGTTTATTTACCCTTCTCTCCAAATACCAATATACAAACCAAACAAAGTAAAAAATTAGGTAAAAGGGACTGTGTCGCGATTATAAAAAAAACCGATACACAAAAACGTTAAATGTTTTTATGTCGCACAGCCCCGTTGACATTCAAAAATATATAAATACACAAATTAAGTAATTATATAAAACAAAATACAAAAAATGCAATCAAACACAAGAAAAAAAAAGAAGAAAGGGATGCAATCAACGGGTATGACCAGGGGGAAGGCTAGGGCACCAGGGAAAGCTAAATCGAATCAAAAACAAGACCATCACTAGTATAAAATTAAAAATTAAGAGGCGACGAAAGCAGGCAGGTAGGTTAGTCACTAGTTAAATTTCTAGAGATTTTTTTTTGTTTTTCTAAATATATAGACTTGACACTATTTACAAATTTCTCATATGAAAGCTCCCGAACGCATTTAGGAAGCTGATGCCACAACTGAATCGCTACAAAGCTGAAAGATTTCTGAAATGCCGCAGTTCTGTGCTGGGGGACTTTGAAATTGTTTACATTTCTGGTAAAATAAGAATGTTCATGAGAATTGAAAAGTGAATTTAAATAGGGTGGTTTTCCGGTTTTTAAAACTTTGTAAATAAATGATAACATATGACATTTGCGTCGATTGCACATTGATAGTATCTTTGAATAAGAAGACTAAGGAAGGAGCATATCAAAAATCTTAGGTATACCGCGATGGACCTCAAATATGGCCGACTTAAATTCCGGTTTATCAGTGTCGTTCTAATTTTATTTAAAAAATGTAAAACTATGATGTAGGGTAGACGTGGGGTAGACTCAATAATTTGTTGTTTTATTTTACGTTGTGAATAAATGTTGGTAGTTATTAAAATTGTTATAAAATATATAATTCTAATAAAAATAGATAAGTTATAATAAGTATTTATTAACACAAACATCCGATACGCTACTGAAGCATGTAAGTCAAATTAACGTATCTAAATTCTTTGACATCTAATCTTTGACAAGCAATAAATAAAAGCTAAAAATGCAAGAAAAATATATAATTTAGTTAATTTAAGTGAATTTCATAAATGATCGGTTTACTACACGTATGTATATTATATAGTCACTTACTAGCGAAAAGTTGTTCCATTATTTCACTCAATTTTTGCCGAGAGCTACCGCACGCTACACAACCAACTATTTAGTCTTTTCGATAAATCGCGATAGTGTCACTGTTAATTTAAGTTCTGCCACAATTTCCAGCTAGATTTACTACCTTTATACAACTATCAGTAGTAGAATAAATGATAAATAACATAAAATAAGCTCCGTAAAGACTGACAAATCCACAAAATTTCAAATCAAATTCAAATGTGTCAAATGAATCGTCAAACAGAACTGTCAAGGATCCCCACCCTAGAGAGCTTTTATGGTGCCTTTTCCGCCCACCATGCATGAATACATGGATAGCATTATGCTCCTTCCTTAGTCTTCTTACTCAAAGGATAGTATAGAATTATTATTTAGGTATGGTGTAATATGATGTCTATAGGGTATATTAAACGAGAATTGCATACATGAATTTTGATTTTTTTGCATAGATTTTACTAGCCCTGCAGATAATGAGGTATCATAAACTATATCACCATAATCGAACAATGATAAAATAAGTGTATTGCATAAGTAATATTTAACAGAAGGTGGTAGACATTTTTTATAAATATTTAGTTTTTTTAACAGACAATATGTATTAGTAAGTTTATTTTTAATATGTGAATTGAAATTAAGTTTTGAATCGACGTATATTCCCAGATTTTTGGCCTCAGTAACTACAGGTAGCAACACATTATTGATCACAATTTTGAAATTTTTTGTAATGCCCGTCCCTTGAGTCTTGCCAGATTCAAAAAAAGCACACAAGATTTCGAAGTATTTAATTTCAGATTATGATCTGTAGCAAAGATATGAGATAATTATCGTTGGCGAAAGATAGATACAACTGTGAATCATCAGCGTATTGTTGTAACTTAGAACGCGATAATTCGTTATTCATGATGCGATAATTCGTCATTCAATTGGCGTAGAAGTTTGTTCCTTTCATAATTTAATAAAAGTTGACATATAATATGTCATTCTATTCAGTGTGTCATTTAAAAATAAAAAGTTGTAGTCATTTCCAGTGAAACCGGAAGTGACCGAAAACAATTGAATATGGCAATCAATCCTAATTTATGTCATATATTAGCATACCAAATCTCGTTGTTTTATCTGAAAAAATAAAAAAGTTATAGGAGGTGAGCCACTTTTGAGACGCACCCGGTATATATTTAAGTTTTTAAAACCAAATAGTGTACTGAAGTTTTTCTACTTACTAAATTCTGTGTTGCAATAATAAAAATAATACTACCTTATACAGAGTGTCAAATTGAATAATAAATAATATTTATTTTAAATAATTACTAGCTTTAAACGGCGAAAACTTGTTTAATTTAAATAAAACACCCTGTATATTTTACGTGAATCAGATGTACAACTTAATTGTATTATACCATTTTGTGTCAGCACTAGTGCTGACACAGCAGAATAGGTGACGCCGACATAAAAGAAACACATATATACAAATATCTCGGGCACGAAATACAAAAAAATCGAAAAGAACAACCAAACACACGAGATACAGCGCAGAATAGGTTTGGGTTGGGCTGCTTTTGGCAAACTGCGGGAGACCTTTAAAAGTGATATACCCATATGCTTGAAGAGGAAAGTTTATGAACAATGCGTCTTGCTGATAATTACACATGGAGCGGAAACTCTAACATTAACGAAAAAGTCAACAGAAAATTTAAGAGTAGCCCAGAGAGCCATGGAGAGGGCCATGCTTGGAATAACTAAAAGAGACAAAATTCCTAATAACACTATCAGACAAAAAACCAAAATTAAAGACATAGTGGAACACGTAACTCCAATGAAATGGAGATGGGCAGGTCATGTGGCGAGAACATCTAAAGACAGGTGGACTAGAAGATTGTTAGAATGGCGACCTCGAGCAGATAAACGTAGCAGAGGCAGACCACCGACACGCTGGACCGATGATGTAAAGAGGATTGCTGGAAATTGGATGATGACGGCCGAGAGAGAGATGGAGAAATATGTCAGCAGTGGACAACGATGGCTACATGATGATGATACCATTTTTAACTATTTCTTCAAGGTTTTTTTTTAATATTCCAGACTATAAAATGCACACTGACTAAATAATAGTGGCGGACAGCCTCACGGTGGGGTATTAGCATGAAAAAGGTGATCGAAATTCGAAAAAGCAAATGTGTTTAAGATTTCCCAAAAAAGATAAATGATAAGTTAAATCATGTCTGCCATGAATGGCGTTGCTATGGGTGTGTTTAGTTGCATTCATTTGTTTCAACGAAATGTCAAAGTTGTTATTTCTCACAGATAAGAGGTAAATGGCTAAATTTTATGTTTAAAATTATAAATTGTTTTTGTGCTCTTTTTACGTTTATATTATTGTTTTGATTGAAAATGGCTCAGCAAGCTGCAGGTATGTATTCTACAAAAACGTATTATTTATTTTGATATTCTCTATACTAACGATTTTTTTGCAACTAAAAGTTAGGCGTTTAGAAAATTTGATTTTATTATACTTAGAGATTTAGTTGCGGATTTCGAAGAATTCAGCATATTGTTTATATACGTTTTACTTAGTAAACATTGGGCTTTCATACAATAAAATAAAATACTGCGACTTTTTGCGACTTTGCTGACAAAATGAGAAAAACATTCTTGGTTTCCTCTAATTTGCCAATCAGTGAGGTGTAAACCGCGATGGCATTGTTGTGTACAAAGCGATCGCATTAGTGCCATTAGCAGTATAGCACAATTTGGCATTAGTAGCGACTTTAGTGGTATGGGCATTGCTCGCGGATCAGTCGTATAGTCTGTGAAATGAATAACTTTGAATTTGACAGTTCCCGCGGGCTTTTTTAGTGTTTATTTTATTAGGTTCGCAACTTGCGGCCATGCTGACGCAATGCCGTCTCTAATAGAACAGCCTTTGAGCGAGATTTATGACGTCACGCTAGTTAGATACTACGGATTAATAAATATGTTGTAGAATACATGGAAAACATAATTATTTCTCGTATTTTTGGTTTGTATTTGAAAACCAAACTTTGATTTTAAAATACAAACCAAAAATACGAGGAATAGTTATGTTTTCCATCTATTCTACAACATATTTATTAATCCGTAGTATATATAACTAGCCTCAGTAGTATATATAACTCCATCTCGCTCCGAGGCTGTTCTATTAGAGACGGCATTGGTCTGATATTTAGAAATGTCAAAAGCTGATGACATTTTACTTTTGACAATTTTGACATTTCGTGTTGATTTTTGGAAGAAGAGGAAGAACTGTTACTTGTTTTATTATTTTCCTTTTCTATTTCACGAAAGTAAAAAGAGTTACCAATCTGATTCGTTCAGGCACTCAATTTAAAGAATATCAGTAACTTTTTTGATAGAGGGATTTTATATTTGCCGCGTTGGTAAGAAATAACGGTCAAAATTCAAAGTTATTCATTTTATAGACTATAGCATTAGTAGTATTAGTTGCGATATTACTATACTGGCATTAGTGGCATTGACCGTGGAAACACTGGAACAGTGATTTTTCTTTCTTTTTTTAGAATCCACGAATTATACTTTATTTTGTTCATATTATTTCCTCTTTAACTGAAAATAGCAATAATTTATATAAGGTCTACATAAAAAAATTTCGATCAACTATCTGTGTCAAATACCCCACTGTGAGCCTGTAGTAAAAGCTACTTGAAAATTAAGAAAAACTGCTAAACAACCATTATAAACTACAACGTTAATAATAGAAATAAAAATACGAACTTACCATGGTTTTTCACGTGTTTCATCAATTTGCTGCCAAATTTTCGACAGCTCCGACCATACACCTCTTAAATCTTGTAACTCCTCATACACCACTTGCATTCGATCCTCGCTAGTACTGGTACCACCAGGCTCTTGTAGTTCCAAAGCCTCTTTGGCTTTAGCGACGTTGTCACGTTCTTCTTTGAGCCGAGCAAATTTGCTTTCAAACAGTTGTAACTGGGACAATGCTTCGTCGGGACTAAAATAAAAAACACACATAATCTTTAATAAAATATATAACAGTTGATCGAAAGAATTGGGAAGATACGCAACCAAATTAGGCGAATTCGTGACAAGGTTGATTTGATTTCCCTTCACGTCTCAAGTACTGTACGGTGGAGCCACCACCCGTTCTGCGGCCAACGCATAAAACACTCATTTTCTCTAATTCGGCCAGCGAAGGCTTATCGAAGACGGTGTGGAACTGAAAGCGACAGTGTTGCCATATTAAAATGTGTAATATCTGTAATACTTTTGACGAAAATATCTTGTATGAAAAATCCGCGTTATGTATCGAAAATTTGTTCGTGTCACACATAGAATAAACAACAAAAATAAAAATTCTTTTATAGGTACTGAATATTTCGTTTGATCGAAAAAAGTCGTTTAGTTAACTCGGAAATGACGATTATTCATATTTGGCATAATATTTTACATATGAAAAAACAGCGATCTTCATTTCCAAGCCGACTCTGACGCCGTTCTTTGTTTAATCATATAATATTCTTTTAAATTGTTTAACGATAGAATTGATTGGATTTGGATTAATCCGTAGTTCTGGCAATACTGTCTCCAGCAACCACTCACTCTGTCGAATGAAAACAGAACAACGGTATTGAATTTTTTATCTGAAAACGACCATCAGCGCGACCAGTCTTCAAAATTAGAGAATCTTTCAAAATTTAAACCGCCCGCATTGAAAAAATACCGAAAAGTATTTAAAGCGTCCATTTTCAAAGTAATTATTGATATCTCGTGAGTTTAATTTAAATTTTATTTACTCAAACCCCTGATAATTGTGAAAAAGTGGCATTAAAAAAACTTAAGCTGTGTGAACTGTGAACAGCCACAAACCATCGTGGCATAACGTCGGTATCCAATGTTCCATAGGTATTTCATACATGCCTTTATATACTTGTATTCATTTAAAACTTCCCAATATGGCGGACTTCAGTATGGGAGGCATAAAAAACGAAAATCTCTAAACTGAAATCGACTGTACTTCAAATCGTTCAATTTGACAATCTGTGGTAAATCCAATTGAACTGTGACACTTGGCTGACATTGATGTTTACGGTTCCTTTTTCTAAATATTTTCATTATTTTTTGAGTTTTTATTCACAAATTCTACTTGATTTTGTTCTGATTCTCTGCAGAACTAATTATATAGTTATAAATAATTTTTTCACCGATCAAGAATTGACGAATAGGCTGGAAGATATTCAAAATGTGTAAAACTCTTAAAAACGTATTAGAAAACATTGACTCGTTCACAAATTCGTGAAAATAAATTAGTCCAGATGTTTGTAAAAAGGTCTCTAATTATTTTGAGAAGTTTCCTCGTATCAGTAATTTTCAGGTTTGTAATATGTACTATATGATAATAAATAGATTAAAATTTATATTTCAGGAAACAGCGCGGACATTACAGATTGTTATAAATCAGTTTTAAAATATAAAGAAGGTTTAAAACAGGTTTAAAAGTTGAGTTAGTAGAGAAGACCTAAATAAGGTAATGTTGGTAATGAGACCAAACATCAAATAACACTTGAAATATATAATTATGTACAATAATTGTAAGTAGTTTTTATGAATCTGTTTGATATCTATTGCATTGTTTTTATATTTCTTGAAATATATATTTTTTTTACTTTACAGGATACACAAAGAATAATAAAAAATACAGTTACTCACTAAAAGCACTTAAGGTTTGTAATAGATGTAGTTAGAATATCAAACACCAAACCAAACCAAAAATTATGTTCTATTTTAGTGGTATTCCTCACATTTGAAGGGAAAGTCATTTCATAAATAAGCAGGACATTGTATAGTACACTCTATATTAATAATTGTTTTTTATCCTATACTTGTTAGTTAACGCATCACTTACTAGGTATAAAATTTAGTACTGATTAACCTATAGTTGTGGTTGTGATATATTCTGATGTGTTTCTGGCAATTTAAAATAAGTTAATATTTAAACAAACATTTCTGGCTTTCCTGACAGGAGTGTGGACACAAATTTAATAAAGGTATAATGTGGATAATGTTCTGATTATTACAGTTTGCATGGGATGTTTTTGTATGTTGTTATTTTTAATAAAGTATATTTAATGAGTTTTTGAGTATTTCTTTTTCCTTCAGAGGATTGTATTCTAATCTTTATATATTATAAATTTTCATAAATTATAAATTTAATTTTAATTTAATTTATTCAAAATTTATTACCTTATAATTTTTTGCTAAATACTTTGTAGTTGATACAGTTTAACAGTATATAAAAGTACTATTTAAATAAGATGTTTGAAAATATATAGCTGTTTTTGCACACATCAATTCAATTTGTGTTTAACTGTACTGAAATAAAAACAAATTAAAAAAAATGGGGTGATCTATCAACTATAACTTGAAAAGCATCATCCTATTTCTAAGTCTTCTATTAATTTCACTTATTAAACAACTATAATTATTCAATAATCTTGATAATTCTAGGAACTCTCAGATATCGTCAAAACATGAAAACAAAAATTTACCTCCTATAGTTCTTACGCCCCTTTAACTGAAATATAAGAAACAGGGGAGTTAATATTCTCACTGAGAAAGTTTATAAAACACCTTTAAGTAAAATCTCTTCGGATCTGCGGTAAAATACCTTTATTCTTATTAAATAATTTCAATAATATATGTTTTTATTTATGACAACCACCTAATAACCATAGATAAATGCAACAAGTTTAGATTGGAAAGCGCGTAAAAATTTTAGGTCGCGAAATTATTTTGGGTCGCGGCCGTTATACGCGATCTGGCGCTGCTATAGCGGTCGCTAAGAACAACGGCAAACAAAAACAGAAATAAAATTTTCTCTTGTCAAAGTCAGAATCTTCAAAAATCATAATAATCTTTCAGAATCTAAACAGCTCTCATTAAAGAAATTCCGAAAAGTGTTTATAGCGTTCATTTTCAAAGTAATTATTGCTATCTTGTAAGTTTAATCCAAGTTTTATTTACTCCAACTGGTAATAATTGTAAAAAAGTGGCATTAAAAAAAGTGGCAAAACAAAAAAACGGCGTCCAGTTGGCTGGGAAATGACGATCAATGACATTTCCCATATAAATTTACATATAAAATGACAGCGATCTTCATTTCATAGCCATCGTTGACGCCGTTTTTCTCGATCATACGGTAGTATTTACATTGTCCTTATGGGCATTTTCCAATCTAAACTTGTTTCATTTATCTATGCGGTAACGCCAGTTACATCTCGGACATATCTTGTAGCAAGAAATGGCCCGTAAGGTTGCGCATCTTATTATTTGTTCAATGAACGATTTAACTTAATTTATAAAAGTGTAAGAGACATACCGTAAGTGTCCTTCGACTGGTTTACTCTTTTCCCAATCTCCTAAGAAATCGTGTGTTCGGCTTTCCACAGCCTTGTCTTCGGAAACGATCTTCTGTTGCAAACTGGAGACTTGAGTTTGGATGGAGGAGTCTTTCCGTTTGATGATTTCGTTAAATGCGCCCCATTCACCTTCGAGGTTTTCCACGTGTAACCAATTTGTTGGAAATTGGAACCGTTGACGTTCCAGAATTCGTTGACCTTCTCTGTAAACCTCAACCTAAATCAAAGAAAAAAATCAAGATAATTAAACGTACAGTTTTCTGTCAGAATATTTCATATACAGTATACAGGGTGGTTCGAACTGTATTCCGGAAACTTCGGAAGCATATTCTGCAAATAAAAATAAGTAAAAAAGTTCGTATAAATGTATGTCCTAAAATGCTTAGTTTCAGAGATACAGGGTGTAGAAGTTTCATTTTTATTTCGATTTTTTTCTAAATAATTTCTGAAGCAACATCAATATTTGGATGAAAATTGTTGTCTGGGAGTTTTTTGACATGAGAAATTTGATTTTGATGTCAATATGACTCCTACTAGTAGAGGGCGCCACCTACATGCGTTTTGACTGTTTTGAAGCGTAATAACTTTTTGTCCGTTCCTGTATAAAACTACCGAGCGAAAAAATATACATCTCTGTGACTTTCTATGTAAAAAATATCTCTTTGTAAAAATCGCTACGAGCAACCGTTCTCAAGATATTTAGAATGGAAATGGTCAATACATGTCATTATTGACGAAAAATTAACACGATGAGTAGATAAGTTATTTCACTGAAATAATAAATTTGGAAATTTTTTAATTTTTTAAATTATAAATTTTTCTGCAAAAAATGATGATAAAACAGTTTCTGTTGAACTTTTAGCACAAAAACATTTCAAATTTATTATTTCAGTCCTTTGAATAAGAAGACTAAGGAAGGAGCATATCAAAAATCTTAGGTACACCGCGATGGGCCTCAAATATGGCCGACTTAAATTCCGGTTTATCAGTGCCGTTCTAATTTTATTTAAAAAATGTAAAACTATGATGTAGGGTAGACGTGGGGTAGACTCAATAATTTGTTATTTTATTTTACGTTGTGAGTAAATGTTGGTAGTTATTAAAATTGTTATAAAAATATATAATTCTAATAAAAATAGATAAGTTATAATAAGTATTTATTAACACAAACATCCGATACGCTACTGAAGCAGGTAAGTCAAATTAACGTATCAAAATTCTTTGACATCTGATCTTTGACAAGTAGTAAATAAAAGCTGAAATGCAAAAAAAAAATATAATTTAGTTAATTTAAGTGAATTTCATAAATGATCGGTTTACTACACGTATGTATATTATATAGTCACTTACTAGCGAAAAGTTGTTCCATTATTTCACTCAATTTTTGCCGAGATCTACCGCACGCTACACAACCAACTATTTTAGAGTCTTTTTCGATAAATCGCGATAGTGTCACTGTTAATTTAAGTTCTGCCACAATTTCCATCTAGATTTGCTACCTTTATACAACTATCAGTAGTAGAATAAATAATAAATAACATAAAATAAGCTCCGTAAAGACTGACAAATCCACAAAAATTCAAATCAAATTCAAATGTGTCAAATGAATCGTCAAACAGAACTGTCAAAGATCCCCACCCTAGAGAGCTTTTTCCGCCCACCATGCATGAATACATGGATAGCATTATGCTCCTTCCTTAGTCTTCTTATTCAAAGTTTCAGTCTAATAACTATTTAGTCAATATGTTTAATTTACGTCAATGATGACAGGTATTGATAATTTAGATTCCAAATATTTCGAAAACCAATACTCGTAGCGATTTTTACCAAGAGACCTTTTTCACGCAAAATAAAGCGCAAATATATACTTTTTCACTCAGTAGTGTAATACCAGGGACGGAAGAAAAGTTATTACTCTTCAAAACGAACGATGACTAAAGAATATAAGGACATGTAACGCCCATATACGGTCTGCAGCAAAATTTGTGACCTTAGAGGCCATTCTTTTGATGGCAAACAATGAGTCATCATTTGGTCACCAGGGACAATTTTAGCGATTTGTAATAGATCGTGTGTAGTAAAACGTCGTAAATGTATATTTTTTTACTCAGTAGTTTTATACAGGTATGGACTAAAAAATATTACTCTTCAAACCAGTTAAAAAATATGTAGGTGGCGCCCTCTACTAGTAGGAGTCATATTGACATTAAAATCCCAAATTTCTCATGTCAAAAAACTCCCAGACACCAATTTTCATCCAAATATTGAAGTTACTTCAGAAATTATTAGTAAAAAATCGAAATAAAAATGAAAATTCTACACCCTTTATCTCCGAAACTAAGCATTTTAGGACATACATTAATACGAACTTATTTGCTGATTTTTATCTGCAGAATATGCTGGCCAAAGTTTCCGGAATACAATTCGGACCACCCTGTATATTATCATAATACAAACCTGTTTTTCCCATTCCTTCATATTCTTCTTTAATTGTTGCACATAAGTAATAAAGGTCACGGCATCAGAAGTACTGGCCGCTTCAATACTTTGCAATTCCAAATCCGACCTTGATTTGGACACACTACTATGGAAAGTGGACATTTCGTTGCTGAGCAAAGCGCCAAACTTGCTCAACGTTTCCTTGTGCCAAGAGTCATATTTGAGCGAAACTTTGCTTTGAACTTTAGCAAAGTCGATGACAAGGGGTCCAAATTCACGACGAGTGTCGGAAGTGTCAAAAGTGGACCTTGTTGTTCTGGAAAAACGATAATGCTAAATACTGATAAAGACTGTTTAGCCATCGTTCACCGTTACGTCATTATATGTCAAATATCAGTTTTAGGGTATGTCTGAGATCAGTTCATATTGTGTAGACAATTTCAAGCACGTTCAAAAAGAGTCTTCTACCAGCGTCTATTTCTCGAGAAAAATCATTCATAAACTTAGCAATGAGCTCTTGTTCATTTTGGTTAAATCTTTGGGGCGATTTTGGAATAAAAAAATGCAATGAATTTTGTTTTACAGCAACAATCGAATTTTAATTTTGACATTGATCGTTGTCCGTCAATAAAATTATAACCCAAAATCAAAAGACAATGAGAATTACTAAAAAGAATATGCAGTAATTTACGAAATGCCGTAATAACATCACCAATCTCTTTCATCTGGTTGGCAAGTGATGGAGAGAGTTCGACAATATATGACGTGACGTTGAACGATGATTGAACATTCTATACAATCCTTTTATCAACGTACTTAATATCGTTTAGGCATCGCATCCATTTGCTTATGTCTTCGCCCAACTGACCGTATAATGTATCGGCTTGCAGGTCCCACAATGATTGGTAAGTGAGCCATTGATTGACATATTTTTGAACCTTAAAAATATAAAATTGAAAGTAATATTCTAGATAAAATCGTCAGTAATGCTCACCTCTTTAACTTTTCCAGAAATCGCATTATATGCGTTTTTCAAAGGTTGAGATCCCGTTGGGAGTTTGGTCAAGATGTTTCTATACGTTTCAGTTATAGGCTTGTCAATTCCAACTTGGTATCTAAAAATTTAAAGTTTCTTTGTATCAAACTAACAATATTTAATATACTTAAAAAAAATTGTGTGTGCACTATTATGCATATTAGAAGTGAAACTTCTTATTAACAGTTATTAAATTAAAGAATTTGAGGGACATATTTGAAAAAGTGTAGTTTGAAATGTTGAAAAAGTTATAAATTAAAAATTAATAAATAATTTGATGACTCCATTCTGGGGACTCCATTCGGGTACCTCTATCGACGTGCCGAGTTTGGTTCCAATCGACCCATAATTAAGAAAAGTCCAGATGATTTCGTTCATTTAGAGGCATCAGTTCGAAACCTCGAGGACGTCATCCTGTAGCCCGTCCCCAATTATACCGAAATCGACCCACATTTTTCTTCAGTATTAAATCCTTAGTCCTACCATGATAAAGATGTAAACGAAATGTTGTATCCAACTTTGCAGGGTGGAACTGTTAGCACCGTCACTCACATAGCCTACACACCAAATCTGGTCGCGATCGGACGACATCAACTTTTGACGTTTCTTACGTCAAAACTTGCTGTCGCAGTGACATGTGTCGTACGCGCCGCGGTCAAGTTGGTCTTGGTCCATTCTATCGACATAGGAAATTTCATTTAAATCGGACGATTTTTTCGCCATTGATGATCAAAATATTCATTCACATTCCGAGTTTCAGCACCCTAACTAGCTCACATAAGATCCGAGTTACGACGCGACGCTCTAAAGACCCATCTCAACTCCCTCATTGGCTTACTACTTTACAAGACGTTAGCTCGTGTGTCACGGCCTTGAATTTTTACTCCGAGCGGGCGGGGCGTAAAGAAGTTTCACTTCAGTAAGAATTAGATAATAAAAATTGTACCTGGTGCTTTGTAGTCTAAGCTGAGATGTTACAATCGCTTCCCAAGCAAATAGTTGTTGCATGATCTGGAACCTCGCTTCTTCAATGCTTGGGTACAAATACATAGTTTGATTTGTAATTCTAACCTATTAAAATCGAACAGAATATTTAAAAAAATATATTAAACTAGCTGAAAAACTATACGAAAAAAAAATCTTACCTCGTGAATCATTATTTGAATTTGCGGATCCCCTCCAGGCTTGTGAGTGGGTTGCGCAGGGGCATCTGTATCCATACTATGGTCTACGTCCTGCTTGGTACCAGTTAGAGCATCTGTCCAAGCTTCAATGCCAGCTTGTAAACGTCGAGCTAAGTTTTTCTCTACCTATGTTATAAGAACAAGCAATAGAAAGTATTTAGTTTCGTGATCAGCAACCTATGATATAGGGGGCGAACAATAATTGAAATAGCTACCAATGCCGTGTTAGATGATTATTGGATTGTCATTGGTATTGATCTTTGAAAATAAAGATTAAGGAAGGAGCAGATTATCAAAAAACTGGGGAGTGCGCGATGGGGACTAAAAATGGACGACTTCAATTACGGTTTATCAGTGCCGTTCTAATTTTATTCGAAGAGTGTAAAAATATGATTTAGATAAATAATTTGTTGGTAAATAAATGTTGGTAGTTACTAAAATTGTTATAAAAATATATAATTCTAATAAAAATAGATAAATTATAATAATAATTTATTAACACATACATCCAATACGCTACTGAAGCAGGTAAGTCAAATTGACGTATCTAAATTCTTTGACATCTTTGACAAGTAGTAAATAAAAGAATCAATGCAAGAAAAAATACATAATTAGTTAATTTTAAATGAATTTCATAAATGAGCGGTTTACTACACGTATGTATATTATATAGCCACTTACTAGCGAAAAGTTATTCCATTATTTCCCTCGATTTTTGACCGAGATCTACCGCACGCTACACAACCAACTAGTTTACAGTCTTTTTCGATAAATCGCAATAGTCACTGTTAATTTAATTTCTGCCACAAGAACAAATTGCCTTCTAGATCTACTACCTCTAAACAACTAGCAGTTGTAGAACAAATGTCGATTTCGAATCAAATTCAAATGTGTCAAATGAAATGTCAAACAGAACTGTCAAGGGCCCCACACTAGGTCCCCACTTCCGTCAACCATGCATGAATACATGGATATAGGTTGTACAAAATAAAACCGTTGCGGGCTATCGATTAGGCTAATAAATATGTACAGTGCTGCCACTACACAAATATAGCCCTAATGGGACTTTTTGAATGAGTTTTAAATTTCCCACTCGATATTGCGTTGGCAACGCCAAGGAAGCGGTTGCAGCGGTGCCACGTTTATTTGACATTTGCCAGAATTTTCTGAACGTTAGATGAGTGTTGTGCCTCGTGTGTATTGTATCTTTTAAAGCTTTTAAAACATTTATCTAGCGATCGAAAACTGTTGATTTCAGAATATTTTGTGTAGTAATTAGTTTTTTCTTTGCAAAATTCCCAAGAAATTAAATAGTCGGTGCTAATCGGCGCTCGAATGGCTCAAGTCATATCTTGGCAACAGAAGGCAGCTTGTGAGGATTGATACGTCTATGTCTTCTTGTAAGCCTATAGAATGTGGTGTCCCACAGGGTTCAGTACTTGGCCCTATTTTGTTTCTGGTGTTTATCAACGACATTGCAAATCTAGACGAGCAATCAAAAGAGAAGCATTTCGATATTTATTGGGACTGAACAGTAGAACTCTGCCAGAATTTCTTTAAAAATTTCAAAATACTGACTCTTTATCTTTATCCATTTTTCATCCGTTTGCTTCATCCGCAAGCACATATCTGCTATTCATGAAAGGCCATCCCATAACTATCCACTTAGGAATGCGGAGCACGATCTTTATCTGCCAACCCCGAGCTCAGAACTAGTTAAAGGAAACTGTACTTACTGTACAATGCCAAAAAAATGTACAATCATCTGCCTTTGAATATCAAGTCGCTTTCATCCTTTCCCGCATTTCACAAAACTCTGAAATCATACTTACTAACTTATATGCGGTAAACGACTTTTTTGTTGATGTTAAATCATGAACCATTTTGAGGTTTAAAATTTTGATCATCTCACACGCTGGTCAAAGGTCAAGTATTTAAAAAATTTAAAATTTTATAACTCTTAAAATTATATCTATTTACTGCTTACTATTCTGCAATTGTCTATGTATGTACTTTTTGTAATTATAATGATATATAATGATATGTACTTTTTGTAATTATAATGATTTAAATTTTTTTGAATTGTGTATTTTTTGTTGTTTGTATATATTTTTTTTGTGCTTTTGTTTGTTTTGTGATTGCTTTGTCGATGAAGCTGTTTTGGCTTTTTGCACAATAAAGCGTTGTTTGTTGTTGTTGTTGTTTATCGTTACTCAACGTACTTCTTAAATTTGAATGTCATCTGCACAATATTGTTTAAAACAGAGTATAAAACAAGTGTTTTTAACATTAAAAAAAACATGTTTTGTCTAAAAATATTTTTTTTTCAGGACTGCTTGAGACTGTTAACAATTTAAAGTTAATATTAGAGTTTTTAATAGATCTCGGATATAGAAAATTTTTCAAAAATAGTTCTCTTCCGATTACAATCTGGCAACAATGCTGTCTAAAATGTACGCACGTGCTCGATGACGTGCAACGGTTTTTAATTTGTATGACCTCTAGCATTATACTCCTTCCTTAATATTTTTATTCACTGATTTTATTTAATAAAAGTTACCTCTTCGTCTAGTCGGGTAACCCATATATGCAAATTAGAATACTGCTTCAGGGATAAGTCGTCCACAGCGTGTTGAATCTTTGACAGTATATCAGCAAACGTATTTGCCGAGTACGGGCATGTTTCCAAAGACCTAACGTCCACTTCCACCTGTTCGCCGATTATCACTAATTCCTCGACGCGCTCCTGGAAACTGACGATTCTCTCGGAGAACTTCTCGACGTAAGGATCGAGTTTGTAACTTTCCCAGACCAACGAGGCTCCTTCCTGAATCAAAGCCTGAACGTCCTTTCTCATCCCAGCCACGAGCGGTATTATACTCGCCTTATCTTCAATCTAAATAAAAATCAATATTATTTAATTTTTTTTAAAGAAATAGAATAGGGCGTATATATCTTCAACATTTACATGCTATGTTATAAAGCGGAAAGATTGTTATGTATAAAATATACCTATAATACATCTATGTACAAGGGTTCAGAACCGGGATTTTTTCTTTTGAGACATCAGAGAACCGGGATTGAACATTTTTTATTCCCGGTTCTTTCGGGACTCGGTAACAATAATTGAAACAATTTTTAGTTACATGCAAAAGGCCACTGATACTTTCTAGCGGTCGAAATCAAACTGTTCTAAATAAGTAGATTTTTTGGAGTTCCTATAATGTTTATTAGCAATTATTGAAGTTTCAATATTATTTAGTATAACGTTTCTAAATTGTATTAGTTGTAACGGATATTAGTTGTGTTAATATTATACTAGAATAATAGAGACTTCATTCTCTTTTAATAATGACAGTCAATGTATTTTATTGTTAACTCATTATTGTAATGAACTTCATTAGTGTTTCTATTGTTGAATTAAATAAGTTAAATATTTAATTGCCATTTTGTAAGAGAGTTTTGATCGGTTTTGGTCGCTATAGTTTAATGCGAAAAACCGAACCGTTTGCGCCGCTCGCCCTACTCTGCTAGTGCAGGCCGAGTGGAGGGGAGCGTCAGTCGAGTACCTTGGCTGCAGCAGTTCCAGGTAGTTAGTTTGTGATCGCACGCGAAACAGTGAGGTTCGAGTCCGGAGTGCCCTGCCAAGTGCCCTGCTGCCAGCCGCCTGTCGCCGCACTGTATAAGGTAAGCACCCACCGCCAAAGTGATCGAGGGTAGGTCGTATTATTTTTATAGTTATTAAGCGTTTACTCGACTACCTGGACGTGTTATAGGGATAAGGGAGTTAGTTGACGGGATTGTTAGGATATTAAAAGCGCGGGAGAACAACCATTGCCGACCAGGCAAGGAGGGACTATGTTGTGCTACGGGCAGGTCGCCAGGAACGATGTCCTTTTCTTTTAAAGATTGTCTGACATCTGCTCCGGTTCAGTGTATCTCTCGGGGAAAGCTAATTACGGGCTAATAATTAATTCATCTTCTTAAGGGACAGTCGGGGTAGTTCAGTAAACGCACGGGTCGCGAATATTCATGGAGCTAGAACAAGATCTCGCCCAAATCCCGAGGCTGGTTTTGTAGCTCCCGTATTTTTCTAGGTGTGTCGACCGGACGGCATTCTGCATCAGTGACGCTGGACGGGATCTCGCCGAAATCCCGAGGTTGTCCTGACCGGGCGGTGTGTGTGCGGGCTGCGCTTATCCAAACGACGTACAACTCGCCGAGACGTCGCTAACGTCTACGTCACTCCGGGACTCGCGTTTGTGTATCCCTCGGGACGCTGTTAACTTCGCGATCGATCCAGGACTCGCGTTTCCGTATATCACAGGACGCTGTTAACTTCGCGATCGATCCAGGACTCGCGTTTGCGTATCCCACAGGACGCTGTTAACTTCGCGATCGATCCAGGGCTCGCTTTTGCGTATCCCACAGGACGCTGTTAACTTCGCGATAGATCCGGGACTCGCATTTGTATATCCCACGGGATGCTGTTAACTTCAACATCGATCCAGGACTCGCGTTTATGTATCACGGGACGCTTTTAACTCCGACGCCGACCCGAGGTCCGTGTTTCGCTGTCAAAACGGACGCCGTTCCGATAAATATTTAACTGTGACCATCGGGACGCCTGTAACGACGTAGCCGCCGTTTAGAGAGTCGCGTCGTAGTAGAGTGTGTTGCTCCGGTATCTACGTGTCTATGTTCATTAGGACGCCGATCAGGAACTCGCGTCGTCTTATTTAATAGAACGTCATTTCGGGAACGCGTTTTGAATTCGCGTGATAGAATCAGTCAGGGAGTTACGTATCGGGAATAATCGATCAAAACTCTAGAGGTACACGGTTGTTATTGTAAATTTTACTTTACGGGTCTCTAAATATACATTTTATTTCACTATTGTTACGATTCGAGGACGTGAATCTTCCTTGATTACTTTTGTACATAATTAATTAGTTAAATAAAAACCTAGTGTTACGTTATAGTTAATTGTGTGTTTTATTTTCTTTTCATCTTATCACTTCCTGGTATCTCCACTGTATAAAAGCTACCCGTATTGGCACTAGTGGTCTCTCAAACACTTTAAACGTTGGGGGTGGCGCCCGAGGAACCGAACCAAGGCAACTCGGCGTCCGTGAGCTTTTCTCAAAAACGGGGGAGTCTCACATAGTTATATTTATGTTTGTAGTTTTTATAGGCATTTGCATTTCTAATTTTAATGTGTATGGTTTCTTTTTCAAATTTAGTTAGGTTGGTTTATGTTGTTTGATGTAAACAAGTTACATATGATTTTTTCGTTTTTTTTTCTTCGCTTGTGAGCATGTTAATTTTCTCATGACTGATTACTTAATAATTTGATATTTTCATTAAAAATCTCAATTTTTTATCGATTTTACTTTGGAAAACCATCCCTTGCTTTCTAATTGATGAACTGCACCATCAATGAACAAAAATTAGTTAGTACCGAAAGTACTAGGAACTACCGGTTCCCAAAATACGCGGTACCATAATTCCCGCTTCCGAAAAACAACCCCGGTTGCGGAAACCCTAATCTATACAGGGTTATACAGTTTTATACAGGGTCTGGCAAACTGTAGCTCTTAGAATAAAAAACTTGAAAATTTTGTTTAAATGCAAACCTAAAGTATGTCTTAAGATGTATTTCTGAAAAATATCTTAACTTCTATAGGGTGGCTCAGAAAAATATGAGTGGGTCGGGATTATTATTTAAATGGAACACCCTGTATATTATTGCATTTTTGGTTTCCTTCCAGATCACTTTGCATAATCCTAAGATATGAGTAAATATATTTCGATAATTTGTATTTACCCCTTACTTCTACATGCAGGGCTCTGTAGAAGTGGACCGACTATCCCTAGCGACTCGTGGGAACACTATGAGATCTAGCATTAAAAACAACACTGGTGAAGCTGTGGGGAAGCCCCTAGTGACACTGGGAACATTACAAATGAAAGTTCCAAGGAACCAAATCCAAAGGAAACTACAAGAGGGGTGGCTGACACTTGCTTGGGGTCATCCTCCGAAAGTGGCACACAAGCTACCACCTTCTCCAGCAAGGGTCGGGAGCCTACCTCTAGACCCAATAAGCGACACAAGCTACCGTTTCGTCTACCCGGCCTGGGTCAACCAGGCGGGCCAGACGATCCTCTGAGAGTAGGTCTTAGCGGAGCAGAAGCACGGAGATACCTCTGACTGCTCCACGGAGGACTTGCTCCAGAGGAAGCAAAAGCGAAAACACTCCTCCGAAAAGGGGAGAGTAAAGAGACCAAGAAACAACCTGACTCATCTCCATCAAAGGGCAAGAGAGGGAGCGAGAACCTCTCACCTCTTCTCCGGCAGGAAGAGAAAAAAGCCAGGATGGAAAGCCGTCCAACACCGGGTGGCAAGCAGAAACGCATCGCCAGCTTTGCCGCTATTGCTGGACAAGTGAAAATGGCGGTGCTGCCAAAGGATTTCCCAGAGGTTGCTCTGACCAGCGACCAGCAAACGTATCTAGAAGAGGCTATACTGGACAAAGTAGTGGCAATCGGATCGCAACACAACGATCTACAAAATGTGGGTCAGCTGCGTTTTGCGGGGATACACTTTCGGGTGGACATGATCCTCATAGATTGTGTATCTCAAGAATCGGCCATCACGGTCTTTCTGCCGAGGAGCAAGGGGAAAGACACCGCCTACCTGCTGAGCCTTATCCAGGCTCAGAACTTCAATGTAAGGACATCCAGTTGGCGAGTCATCAACTCGAGGGAGGACGGTCATGGTCAGGTCCTCACAATAGGAATTGACCTCAAATCCAAGGAGGCAATAGAGAAAGAGGGACATATCCTCTATTATATATACGGGACAACACCGGTATCAGGTCTAAGGAGAGACCAAGTTAAAGAGTTGTAGAAAATGGAGACAGATCCTCCAGCCTCCACCTCACGGGTTCCTCAGCCGAAGGCAAGCTCCTCGACTGTGAAGGGCGGCACGGAGGGCCAAACTCCAACCGTGGAAGAGTCTGTACTGTGTACCCTCGGAGGAAGAACTGTTGTCAGACGAGGATGGGAAAGTCCCTGTCCCCTTTACAACAGAGGTATGATGGGTTATAGATTGTGAGATGACTCAAGGAAGGGGGGCACAATAGATCTTTAAGGTCGCAGTGATTAACCCCCCTCTTACTCATTCTACATTCTACATCTCTGAAATTATCGAAATATATTTACTCATATCTTAGGATTACGTAAAGTGCTCTGAAAGAAAGCCAATAATGCAATACAGGGTGTTCCATTTAAAAAAAACCCATCCCAATCCACTCAGACTTTTTTGAACTACCCTATAGAAGTTAAAAATATTTTCCTGAAATACATCCTAGTACATACTTTTGGTTTGCACTTAAACAAAATTCCAAAAAGTTTTTTATTCTAGAAGTTACAGATGACCCTGTATATAGTTTTTTATGAGTACTGTATTTTTTTATTCATTTTCATGTTAAATAAAGAGACAAATAAGGCAAAACTTATCAAAATTTAATCAAAGGATCCCAGCTGAAAAAGTAGCCCATGCAAAAGTTTAATGATCATGCCTAACATTGACTCATTACAATGGGTAGTTCTAATCTACCTTAACAACTGCATGTTGATGACTATTCCTTTGCGTTAGCTAGTCCAAAATATTTAGTTGTTAAGAGTTTAGTTGTTAATTGTTAGATTAATCACATATAATTTTTTAAAACTTATAATTTAATTATAGTCCAGTAAATGAAGGTTGAAACTACAGTTTAGTTCGTTTACCGGGACTTTTCAGGCGGATTGTGTATCCTTTGGGGAAAAAATTGTAACAATAATTGTACCCAGATAGCCGAAAAATCAGTTTTTCCCAAATATCTGCCAAAATACGCAATTTACAATTTTTTTATTAATTTTTCTTCGAATAAAAAATGAAGCTTAGGTAATTACCTAGAAAAATGATCCTCATCATTTTTTACGTAGAATTACTATAGTAAACGCCACGAATGTTTGGGAGTGATTCATCGCTTGATGAAGTTAGAATCGACACGCGCGCTATCATTTTTACATTAAAAACGTAAATTTTTACCGCAGACGTAGGTTTTTAAAGACCCGGTCTAATCATCTGCCTGCGCTCCTCCTACTTATTCTAAAATGTTAGCGTGATTGACAAAGACGATACTATATCGCGTTTCTTTGATTGATTCGTTTTTGTGCGTTAGTCCATTAGTGTGCTTGCAGTGCGACCAATGGGGCATTCTAGTTTATATTTATAACCAAATATATGTGTCGACAAGACTTTGACAGTTCGCTGGAATCCTTTTTAAGTAATTTGTTACTAATAAATATTTTTGTAATATTCATCAATAATAATAAATTGATTATTATATGACTTGAAACACCACGGCACTGGAATTAAGTTTTATGTGACCTTGAACAGATTAGTTCACATGGTAGCGACCAATGAATCACTCCCAAACATTCGTGGCGTTTACTATAGTTTTCGAAAATACCTCCCGAAAATTCCTCTCCAAGTCTTAACACTTGAAAGACAGATTTCATAAGTGTATCATTGATAGGATTATTAATTGTTTAATAAAATTTGGCTAAAATTTAATATTTCTTGATGATTCAAAGTTCATTTAAAAGGCAGAATTAACAGCTATCACATTTTGGAACTTATTTGAAATTTGTCATATTTTTATGATAAAAAAAACGGGGCAAACATTCCTTAACCCAAAAATTTTCAGATCTTTACAAACTTATTCATATTTTCACTGACAATAGTTTATTTGTCAATTTTTTTAACAGTTGTTCTTAAAGCCTCTTTCAGCAACTCAGAAAGTTTGAAGTATTTGTTTAATGACATTTTAATAAAAAATAACTATTCGTGAGTGACTTTTTCGTCTTTTTTGGGATTTCCGGAAAGTGTCGTAAACAAAAGAAAATTGCATAATTACGAATAGTCGAATTGGTTTCTTTTTACAAACAACTTTACGAAAAAAGTGTCAGGATCATTTTTTAGCCAAGGAAGGACTTAATTTTCCATTTGGTGATCATGAAAATCATCTACATGCCATATTATTTCGGCCAATATTGGCGGAAAATCCTTTCTTTAACCCTCTAGGACGTTTTTAACCGTTTTAGACTTTACTAAAAAAAAGTTTTACAACTTTTTTTGTAGATAATGACCTAAGCATCATTTTTTATTTCGAGAAAACTTTGGTAAATTGTATATTTTGGCAGATATTTGTGAAAAACTGATTTTTCGGCCATTGGGGGCCATTTTTTTCGCGGTGTTGCCATTTTTTCCTCTAAAATTACTCCCCAAAAGGTACACAATCCGCCTAAAAACTCATGGTTGACAAATTAAGCGAAGATTTGGGTCTTTTCGTATCCTTATTTACTGGACTATTATATTATCTTGATACTGAAAAGTCATTAATAATCAATTTCATCTAACACTATAACTAAACATCTAACACTATAATATCAGAAACCCCAAAACGCATAGTTATTTACCTTTTCTAAAGTCATTTCGTAGGTCCTCACACTTTCAATCAGTGAGATGGCGAAAGGATACAGTTGGTTAGCCTGGTGAGCCTTGTTCACGATAGCTAAGGGAACTCTGAATCCCAGAGACTTCAAATTACGCACTTCCTTGGACAAGGTTATAATTTCCGGTAGGAAGTTGACGCGTAACTTCAGGACGTTGCCACGACCGTTCTTAGCCCTGACAGCGTCGATGGTAAAAATGCGCCCAGATACGCCCAGTTGGCGCTGCTGCACGTTGCGGGCCCACTCGTCGAATATTTCTTGAGTGTCGAGCTTCACACGGAAACTGTCACCGTCGGCTTTCAGTTTTTGCCCTTCGATGTGATTCTCCCAGCCTTTACCTAAAAATAACAACAAATTGAAAGTTTTAAAAATGTGTATTAGGGTGGGTCAAAAAAATCGACTAGTTTTTTTTTAATTTTATACTCTGAAAAAAAGGTTGGTAGACACCTCAAAAAAATTCTCTTCAAGTATGAGCTCTTAATTTTAATAGGAAGGTCCTCCGCCTTTCAGTTTTCTATTTTTTCCTTATTATTAGAAAGAAAAATTCAAATCTCGGTATCTACTATTTGGAAAAAATATCTCGTCTCATATATTTGTAGGAAATTGAATTCTCTACAAAAAAGGTCTCTTACAATTTTTTTGTAAATTTCACTGTTCGAAAATTATTAAAGGTTGAATTTTGATTATTTTAAGGCACATTTCTTTTTTCTTATAAATTTTATAACTCGTTAACAAAAAATAATTATGATACGCGCAACTCATGGTTTTGTAGGAAATTTACTGCTCTACAAAAACGGTTTCTTATGATTAGTCGATTAAATTAACCGTTTAAAAGATATTCATCGTCAAACTTCAATGCACAATAATTTTAACAGTTTTTGATTAATAATTCGAACAATTCCAATTTATTTTATGAGATTCGGAAAAATTTGTAAAAATTTAAATTTCTATGAACAAAGAAGTGAAGTGACTGACATACTGATTAATCACGATCCTGCTCAAACCACTCAACGTAAGAAGCTCAATTTTGGCATACAGGTTGATTCTAAGGTGTAGAGGTTCGATAAGAAGGGATTTTTCGAAATTCCAGTTCGAAGAGGGTGAAACCACCCCTCAAATATTACAATATTTTTTATTTAAAAAACGGTCAAGTTTCCGAAAAAACGCTTAAACACGTTATTTTATTTTGTTTTTTACATATTTTTTAAATTTTTAAAAATGTATACAGGGTGTTTCGAAAAATCTGGTCACTGATTAATCACGATCCTGCTTAAAGCGCTTGACGTAAAAAGCTAATTTTTGGAAAACAGATTGACCTTAGGGTGTAGGGGTTCGATAAGAAGGGACTTTTCGAAACTCGAATTCCTAGGGGGTTAAACTATCCCTCAAATATTAAAATATTTTTTTATTTAAAAACCGGTGAGTTTTTCGGAAAAACTCTTAAACCCGTATATTTTATTTTGTTGTTTTACATATTTTAAGATTTTTTATAAATTTATACAGGGTGTTTCATAAAATATGACCATTGAGTAATCACGATTCTGCTTAAACTGCTTGACGTTTAAAGCTGATTTTTGGCAAACGGATTGACTGTGGGGTGTAGATGTTCGATAAGGAGGGGCTTCTCGAATCTCAAATTCCAAGAGGGTGAAAACGCCCCTCAAATATTACAATATTTGTTATTTAAAAAACGGTTAGTCTTTCGGGAAAACGCTTCGACAAGCACAATTTATTTGGTTTTTTTTACATATTTTGAAATTATTAAAAAATCATATAGGGTTTTCCAAAAAGTTCGGTAATTTCTTAACCACGATTCTACTTAAACTGCTTGACGTAAAAGGCTTATTTTTGGCAAACGGATTTTTCGAAAGTCAATTCCAACGAGTTGAAACTACCCCTCAAATATTACCAAGTTATACCGGGTGTTGCATCGTCGAGCGGGACATAGGAAATCTCATGTAAATTTTAATGGGGTCAATTATTGGCTTCCCTAATTATTTTAGAGAATAATTCTATTTAGGTTTATTGAAGAACACTAAAACCCACATTCAAAAGAATAACTTTAGATATTTTTGATTAGCCCATTTACGAGTTATCGCCGATTTCTTTTTAAATATTTCTCCTTTTTTATGGCCCTGTATTTACTAATGAGCACCAGTCAAGGTAAAAGATAACTGACAAATGAAGTTGTCATTTCAGAAATTTATCTATTTAGTGCTTTATTATTATTATTAAAAACTCATATCTACATCGAAAATATTAGCCATGAATTACACTACCGAAGAAAAAGTATTGATGATTAAATGGTATTTTCAAGGAAATAGTTATCAAAAGGTGTCAGACATGTTTTCTGCTCTGTATCCGAATAGACCGATACATGGAAAATCTACAATCGCAAGCACCAGTCAAGGTAAAATATAACTGTCAAATGAAGTTGTCATTTAATAGTACCTAAATTAATAAGTTATTGAATATTGTAACAATACTATAATTAACCTTGTAATTGATTACTTTACTTTACTTTAATTCATATTAATTTGTATTTATAAATAAATCTTTAAGATTTCCGATGTAGGAATGAGTTTTCAATAATAATAAAGCACTAAATAGGTAAATTTCTGAAATGACAACTTCATTACCTTGACTGGTGCTCATAAGTAAATACAGGGCCATAAGAAAGGAGAAACATTTAAAAAGAAATCGGCGATAACTCGTAAACGAGCTAATCAAAAATATCTGAAGTTATTCTTTTGAATGTGGGTTTTAGTGCTCTTCAATAAACCTAAATAGAATTATTCTCTAAAATAATTAGGGAAGCCAATAATTGACCCCATTAAAATTTACATGGGATTTCCTATGTCCCGTCCGACGATGCAACACCCGGTATAATAATATCGCCATATTGATTTTTCTCATGCTGACATAAATGTGAGAAAATTTTATCCAGTTTGTATGTTAATTTAAACTCTTGCTTTGCTTTATCATCACAATTACAAATGATTAATTCGACGCGAACGAAGTCGCTGGTACACGCTAGTTTAATATAAAAAAAATTATCAAAAAGTTTTTTTTTATTTATCAACTGAGATATGATTGGTACTGATACAAGACTTGGATCGGTATTTACATGTATTTACTTATCTCTTGCCGATATGTTATAGAAATATTACAACAGAAATCAATAAATTATAACTAAATCAAATGCAAACCTAAAACATCTTCAACTCTTCTCAGGTATGTTGTAAGTTGATGGTCAATTTGTTTAGCCCAAACGATTGATCCTGCCACTGGTGGTAGATCGCGGCATTTACTAATTTTGGCGTTGTTACTTTGAGGATACTGAACCTAAAAATTTATACAACTCACATCAAATTAACTGTATACACAAAAACATTTAAAAATATTAAGAAACTGTTAAAACCCCTATTTAAAATAGGTAGTTAATTATTTTTATTATAATATTATTCAGGTTTCTCAGGTTAACAATGTCTGAAAAAAACAGCAAGCAAAAGCAAAACACACCGAGTATTATTTTTTTGCATGATCATCCAATTATTTGAATCCTCGAGGATCAATACCGGAGGATTGAAATCATTCGATTATTCCCAACACTAGTTTTGATCATACATATACAGGGTGAGTCTTAAATAAGTGCAAATATTTTGAGGGCTGGTAGATCTCGATAAAAAACCATTTTTCAAATAAGTCCAAAATAACCGAGTTATTTAAGTTTGAAAATTTAAAGAAAATTTGATTTTTTTGGAAAAAATTTGAGCCACCGGATTTCTTCTGTATTTGCATCCTTTTTAGTGCCGTAACCATAGAGTAAAGCTGTAATTATGGTAATATCAGAGATTAAGAAATTATACCGTGAGAAAATTTGCGGTGAACAGGCAGTTCTAAAAAGTTTTCGAAAAATATACAGGGAAATTTAAAAGAAAATGCACGATTTTCAATATCTTTTTTTGCGAAAAAAAACTCATAGACGTGTTCCTGGAGTTGAAATATATCACCGCTGAAAATATTTGCACTTATTTAAGATTCACCCTGTAGAATGTTCAGTCATCGTTCAACGTCACGTCATATATTGTCGAACTCTCTCAATTACTTGCCAACCAGATGAAAGAGATTGGTGACGTCATTACGGCATTTCGCAAATTACCGGATATTCTTTATAGTAATTGCCATTGTCATTTGATTTGGGGTTATAATTTTATTGACGGACATCGATGAATGTGAAAATTAAAATTTGATTGTTGCTGTAAAACAAAATTCAATTTTTTTATTGCAAAAATACCTCAAAGATTTAACCAAAATGAACAAAAGCTCATTGCTAAGCTTAAAAATGATTTTTCTCGAGAAATAGACGCTGCACAGTGCCATGGACAAAAATCGAAAAAAAAGTTAAAATTTACTAATATCTGAATATGTAATTTTATACTTATAGCAATGTTCAACCATCATGTATATTATTTTTCATAAACAGCGTTTTTTGTTAGTAAATATTTTCACTAAAAATAAATTTTGCCATCATTATCTTATATCAGTGAAAAGAATAACATTCATAGTAGTTCTGTATATTATGGAGTTAAACGGTACGTATACTCTGTTTTTTTTCTCAGGTAAGATTTCGACAGACGATGACAGAAGAAAAGCAGATGACGTCCCATACCAATCTATTTATTTTACTAAAAAAAGTTTCTAATAATTTTTAAGTTAACTATGGATGGATTTAAATATAAATTCGTCATGCGTCGTCACTTGTTGTTTTTAACCAGTTTTATTGGTTTATTTCAAAAATGACAGATCGTATTTCAATTTTATTGGTTTGACGGAACGATGAACGACAAATGGACGCCGATGCGTATGAACTCGCCTTTAGATTTTTGATGTTTGTCAAAGTCTTGCCAAATTATAGGTTATAATTTTGTGACAACTTTTGTCAAATACCCTGCGTTTTGGTGGATGATGCATTTGATTCGTGTTATTACGTGTGTTTTGTGTCCTTTGAAGTCAAGTGGAGGAAAAATCGAGTGAAAATTAACTGTAGAAAACAGAGCACAGTTTATGGTTAATAATCGCTGCCAAGGCAGAAAGTCTTATACAGATACACCAATAAAGTTACTATCAATAAAGTTCGTATACCATCTCGTCGTAGATAAGTGCATCTCGAATATGGTAGAAGGACCATACTATAAACACATACTAAAAACTGGAGCAGCTGTAAAATATCGACATCGCACGATAGGTAAATAATGGATTTTAGTACTGCAGAAAAATAATGTCAAAAGGTACTGGTTTAAAAAATTAAGATTAAAGTTAATTAATCAACCTGTGAGGTATAAAATTTGGTAAGTGTTATTATTAATAAAATAGTTTGTTTTATTTATGTTGTTTTATTTATTCCTGCGGAATATTACAAATTTGTATTTGTACATAAGTTATATTGTTAAATATAATCATAAATGCGGGAAGTTTCATAACGCTTGAAAGTAAGAAACAGTTCTTTTTTATATTTTTTTGGTATGTGGTGTCTTGTTTTTGTTTGTTTTGTATTAACACGTTTTTTATTAAATAAAATAACTCGATTACATTTTTTTAGTTTTATACAGTTTTTTTTTCACAATATTTTTCACAAGTTACTTGTCAGTCAAATTTTAAATACATATATTAATTTCCTGCTCTGCGTTCCAGTTGTACCAACTTATTTCTTTGTAAAATAAAATAAACTACTTTGAAATTAAAATGACAGACACATCTATCACTGTCAAGGATCTTCTCGTTGGACAGACTATACTTAATTGAAAGCCACTATGGATATTGTTAAACAAGGTATGTACTTTAATGTTATTTCTAAACAAGTTCGTGATTGTTTAGTTTTTATTTATTTTTTAAGATGATTCTTAAATGGGTATAAACATTTTACGTTTTCAAACTTCAAAAAGGCATTTAAAAAAAACATATCAAAACATATCGTATTTATTGACTTTTGTTGTCATATTCATACACTTTTAATTTTTGTATAGTTCACCTGCGTCTGCTTGCGACGAACTTTATTTTATAATAATTTTCAGATGGAGTAAAATTGATAAGCAATGCCGATCTGGTTAATACTTGGCTTGATCATAAGGACAAGAACTCAAAATTATTTGTATTTCAAAAAATGTGTTCTTTATTAGATATTGATGAACCTTCCATTCAAATGAGACACCGCTTGTGCCTGAAAAAGCCCACTATGTTGGAGCAAAACGTCGCATAAAAAAAGTTGCCATCTTTCAATTTATTATAAAACCTCATACCCAAGAAAAGGAAAAAATAATATATGGATATGGTCTATTAAAGAGGTAACTATTAACATCCGAACCCCTCATACCAACAAAAAGAACAGTAACAACGCGAAAAAGTAACATATTAGAAAATTATGTACACAAATATCTTATATGTGAGGATTTCATCTACCTGTGATTTGAATACTATAAATTTCGAAGATTCTGTCAGCAGTGATTCTTCTGAATCAGAGTAGTTACGATCTATGCATTTTATTTTTGATCTAAAGTAAATTTATAGTACCTTAATTTTTTTTTAATTAAATATATCATTAATGATTCTTTTTCATTAAAGAAAAACATTTTTATCTTATATTAGGCTTGTATTGTATGAATCATGTTCTAATGTTATTTCAATTCTTTTTTATCACAGGGATTTATTTAATACTTACACCGTTTTCATACTATAAATTATTGTTTCCTTAGATGGAACACAGCTTCAACATTTTTATTATTTATAAGAGTTTTTTTCATAAACGTGACTAAGAACATCATCATCATGAAGAGTTCAAGAAAAAAATTAATAAACGCCGAAAAACGGAACTCGCTCAGTCAATAATATAGGAACCACTTAAAATCTTCTAAACTATATAAACTGATCTCAGACACACCCTAAAACTCATATTTGACAAATAATGATGACGTAACGGTAAACAATGGCTGAACAGTCTTTAGATAGTTCTTGGCTGTAAGATCAGGCTTCAGGATTGGCTGTAATGGGAAAACGTTACCACAAAGACATTAACACAATGAACCTTAAGAGTCCATTTCACTGGTCCGAAAAAGTAGTAAAATAAGCGTTCGGCATTTAACGTTTTATGTAAAACTCCATAGCTATTTTTACGCAAATGAAGAAGGAAACTAAAGATGAAGGAATATACTATATCCGTATAGTAGCCCATTTTTAGACAACTTCTTTATTTTTAAGATTTGGATGATCAAACATCAACAAAATATTCATTATGTATGGACTAAATTTTCTCGAAAATAAAGACATCATTTAAAATTCCGTTACAATATGGAAATAGATTGAAGTTTTGTGATTACAGTGATATATAATTTATATGGTTTTGTAACAAATTGCTCGCTATTTTATGGCAATGCTGAAGCTCTGCAAACCTTAATCAAAGCAGGTGTGTTTCGAATTTTGGGTATGGCTTAACATGACAGGATCGGGCTAAGCCTTAGGCTGCGGGCACGCTTGCGAGCGATTTATCGCGAGCGATATATCGTGGACGACTAAACGACAAACAAATATTTCAAACACATTAAATTTCATTGCAGTGGCCATACCAAAAAAGTCGTCCAGCGATAAATCGCTTAGCGGCTAAGCGTGTCGCTCTGTAAAATGAGTGGAAGGGGTTAAAAATAAACTACCCTATCATTTTTGTTAACGAAATTTAAAGAAAAATCTTATCAAACACATGCAAAAAATTAATTTGGATAGCTTGGTTTGTTTAGAAACTTTTTTATCTCTTGTATTTTTTTGATAAACCTCACCAATTTGAAATTAAAAAATAAAATGTAAAGCATTACATGTCAGGACAAAAAACATTTTCTGATAAAGAATAGAGTGGGCTGCTGTAATTTTTTTAGGAAAAAATCTAGTCGGCCGCTGTTACTTTTTAGAATGTTCCTAATATTATTTTATTTGACATTACTCTACTGCAATACGTTATTATCTAGATGATTATTATTATCGTTATTATCACTAGATTCTTAATCTAAAAATGTTTTTGTCCTGACATGTAATGCTTTACATTTTATTTTTTAATTTCAAATCGGTGAGTTTTATCAAAAACACAAGAGATAAAAAGTTTCTAAACAAACTGAACTATCTAAATTAATTTTTCTGCATGTGTTTGATAAGATTTTTCTTTAAATTTCGTTAACAAGAATGATAAGGGTAGTTTATTTCAACCCCTTCCACTCATTTTAAAAAAGTGAAAAAATTACCAAAAAGTGTGTTTTCATAACAGTAATGCTTCCATAAAATTTCATTAGTCTATCTCTTTTCGTTTTCAAGATAAAAAAAACATTATTTTTCCGCCATCTTTGTACCGCGATATCTTCTTAATGGTTGACTTTTGACCCAACGTTTATAAAGCAAACTACCCTTTATTTTGAACAAGGAATCACCCCCTGAAGTTTTTCGCATTTGTTTTGAAACACCCTGTATAATTTATATGGTTTTGTAACAAATTGCTCGCTATTTTATGGCAATGCTGAAGCTCTGCAAACCTTAATCAAAGCAAGTGTGTTTCGAATTTTGGGTATGGCTTAACACGACAGGATCGGGCTAAGCCTTAGGCAGATTTTCGAAATATAATATATATTTCCTTCGGCCACACACCCGCTTCACCAGACCCCTGAGAGCGATCCGAACAGTACAGCGTAATGGACTCTTAACGCTGGAATGTTTAAAAGAACTAATATTGAGGCTAGAACGGAACACTCACCTTGAATTTCTCGTGTAATGCTTCGATATCATCTTTGACCCTCTGTATCAAATGGGTTTGGTATTCTCGAATAGCGCCTCTGATGTGAGGCCTGACGAACAAAGCGTTGAATCGGGAAAAAATCCTAAACATTTCGTTTGCGTTTTTGGCGGTACCCAGCTGGTCTCTGAGATGGGCGGTGATGCGCGTTTCGACGCGATCGATGCGCTCTTCGTATCGCTGGACGGCCGCGTCCCAAGCATCCTGACCTTCCTTGGAGATATCCAGGCAGTCAACTTCTTTCACGTTTTCGTAAGCCAAATTGACTTCCTAAAATTAAGGTATATAATAATAATAATATCGTCTTTATTTACCTCTAGTGAGTACAGTGTAGTATACTGGGTGTTTCTCAAAAGTGGCTCACCTCCTATAACTTTTAAATTTTTTCAGATAATTTATTTTTTCCGTATGTTAGTATATGACATAAATTCGGTTTGATTGACGTATTCATTTGTTTTCGGTCACTTCCTGTTTCACCGGAAATGACTATAACTTTTGATTTTAAATGACACCCTCGAATGCGTGCGTGCTCGAGTCTAAACGCACCATAACATGAGGGCCATACGATAACTTAACTTGAAATACCAAGTGCGTGGTACCAAATTATTCCTAAAAAAAATGCTTTTTCCAAATATGCTAACGAGCCACCTTCGTTCCATTTGAATAAATCGAGGTGTGATTAAAAATACGATTTGGGCATCTTTTAATCGGCCAGGACAAGACACAAAAAACATTAGAAAATCAAATTTATTTTTCCAAAGCTCCTTGATTAAAAATTAGTGATTTTAACACAGCTAGATTGGTATTTAAAATACGACTTTTGTTTAAGCGAAAATGTCAAGTTGACATATATGATCATTTTCTATTGAATAAAGAAAAAAAAACTTTTAAAAGTTGTAGTCATTTCCAGTAAAACAGAAAATCACCAAAAATGACTGAATACATCAATCAATCCTAATTTATGTCATATACGTAAAATATCAAATCTCGTTTTTGAAAACTAATAGGATTGCTCATCCTCATAAGACGCACGTTCGCTTCTTCCCGCGCTTCAGCTGACAGTTGTGACGTCATTGTAGCCCTTGTCATGATAGTGTGTATAATTGGCTGCCTCAATCCACAACACAAAATGAAAGTATTTATACTCTATAGCTGTAAAAAACTTTTGAAACACCTTTTTCACAATTAAAGTCGACAAAATAATTAACTCAAACCCACTCTGCCTGAATAGTAAACAATCCTCCAAATTGGAATTCTCAGCTGTCATTTTTATAAGTATATCATAGGCAACCAATAATATACACTATCATGACAAGGGCTACAATGACGTCACAAAGCGAGGAGTTTTTGCATGCAGCTGGCAGACACTTTCGGCTGAATCGCTCCTCTTAAGTTAACTGTTCTTGTATAGGGTATATACATATATTTCAAATAAAAAAAATTGATAATAAACAACATGCCTCAACTAAGTTTTGACATTTGACTGATATAATTACCTCGATTGCGTTAGCGTCTGCCGCATCCAAGGAAAACGTCGGTTTCGGAGCTTCCAGCTCTTCACCTTCGGCTTGAACTGCGGCCTCTCTAATGGAAGGCCTCAGAACGCGCACGATCACCATACGTAGCTGCTCGTGTTGCCTGCGGAACTTGCGCATCTGTTCCATACGATTTTGCAGTTTCTTGTGCTGGGCGGAGATGCGCCACACCATCTTCATATGCTCGTCTCGTTTCTTCTTCATGATGTCCCTAATGGAATTAAGAAAAAATCAGATAACTCTTACACTATTATCCAAAATATTTCTTTATAATTGATTTTATAAAAAATGCACACATCTAGAACGTAATTGCGTTGGGCTTTGAATTTCAGTGAGATTATTGTAAATTTTAGAAAGTTTAACGGCACCATATTAATATTACTTTACAAAAATGAAATACTAAACGCAATATTCTATATTTTTTTAAATAAGTCGAAGCAGATTTAAATGCTCTTTCAAACTATATTAGGGTTTCCTATACCTATCTAGCTCGGATTTTGAATAAAGAACAATTTTTCAATAAAATGGCAACCAAGATGGCTGCTGTGGTCGTGGCAAGTTTATAGTGATAGTAGCTATTTTCTCAAAATCGAAATTAGTTTGTGGACCTTATTTAAATTTATAGCGAGTTTATTTTTACTTAATTTACCTACAACAGTGTAATAATTAATTTTATTAAATATGTATTTATTATTTTATCAAGAAAAATAAAGAAATAGTTCTTGGATTTATTTTACGATGACTTTCAGATATGTATATCGATTTTCTATAAAAGAGACAATTACGGCCAATCCATTTTCTTCTCTTCCAACGACAGGTTTCTGCCTAATAGGATTTTATAACCACACTACCACACTACTTTTGCGAAATAGGACAGATAGTTTTTTAAAGGAACGCTTATCAAGAAGATTCCTATTTTGATATCTTTGAGCATAAGCCCTTGAGGCTAAGAAGCAGTTTTCCTCACAAAATAAAATGACTAGTAACCTACCCATTCGTTCCGCCAGCAGATACTGATTATTTTTCTTGATAAAATAATGAACACTTCAAAGAATATACCTAGCTAGAAAAAGAATGGACTCTGCCATACTGAAAAATGGTCCTACAGAAGTGGCGCCATCTATTGAGTAGGGCTTGTTTTAAATGGATCGAAGCGCGGGCTTTTTAAATGAGCGTATTTACTGAATAATTTTACTCTAAAATAATTAAATTTGATTATTAAATATTATTTTTTACACAAATTCAACAATACTAATAACAAGTATCGTTGTGATGTGTAAAAAATAAGATTTAACAGTATAATATATACAATTATTAAATAAAATTAAAGCCAAACATGTGAAATATTATTTATTATTTAAAGTTCTTATTTATAAGTCAAATATTTAAACATCGTTTATTATAATAAAACAAGACCGACGTAATACGCCCAAAGTTTTGTAAATGGAGTAAGAATTTAAATAGGTACTTAAATGATGGCAAAAATAAAAGACTTACATTATATTTTTAGAGCCAGAAACAAAAGGAATTGTCTAATTAAAACACATATAACAAATTCATAGAACAAATTATAGTTTTAAAAACGTTTTGATAATCATTTATTTGATAATATTATGATTGGCGCTATGACAACGACAATATTTTTTGAGAATTTGACAATATGACAATGGCCGTTGGAAACTATGGAAACTACAAAAAAATTCTGATTTACCGCCATCTGGCAATAACTAGTAGCAACTTCTTAACCTAAAAATTAATTGCACTACCACCTAGTGGCTAGGGCTGGAACTATTTTATTTGAGATTTCCGTGGAAACGGTGGAACCGCTTTTGCTATTTCACTTTCCCGCCCGAACACTTACTTATTAAACTATTGTCTTTGAATATAAGAAGACTATTGTGAACAAATTTAAGTAAACTGTCAGAAATCTAACAAATAATAAAGTCTATAAACTAATGACGATTTTGAAAATAGTTACTAACTGTCACTAGAAAATTGCCATGGCGACACCAGCCATCCCGATTGCAATTTCATTGAAAAATCGCTTTTTATTTAAAATCAGAGCTAGAAAGGTATGGCAAACACTAATATAGTTTCAAAGAGCATTTGAATCTGCTTCGATTTATTTAAAAAAATAGAGGGTGTTGCATTTGAAATAACGAAGTTTTTATGTAAAATAAATATTTAAAACAGATCAGCAATTTTTGGTACCCCTGTATAAATTTAAGGAAGCAACACATTTTTTCAGTAAAGTTTATTCCTTTGCCTTAAAAGTCAGCACAAAAATTAATTCTTAAAAGTAATGTACAGGGTGTTTATAATTTATTCTATTGTAGCATGCATATTTAAATAACTTTAAATATCTCAAAAACTAAAAATTTTAACCCTTATAATAAATGCCTTGTTTATGTCCAAGAATCCAAAAATGAAATAAAATACCGGGTGTTCCATAGGAAAAAATATAACTTTGGTATGGATGTTAGTTCTGATTATATTTAACAAAAAAATTTTAAATTATGCACATTGCCTTCCCACATACCGGGTGTTGCATCGTCGGACGGGACATAGGAAATCTCATTTAAATTTTAATGGGGTCAATTATTGGCTTCCCTAATTATTTTAGAGAATAATTCTATTTAGGTTTATAGAAGAGCACTAAAACCCACATTCAAAAGAATAACTTTAGATATTTTTGATTAGCTCGTTTACGAGTTATCGCCGATTTCTTTTTAAATATCTCTCCTTTCTTATGGCCCTGTATTTACTTATGAGCACCAGTCAAGGTAAAAGATAACTGTCAAATGAAGTTGTCATTTCAGAAATTTACCTACTTAGTGCTTTATTATTAAGTGTTATTATTAATAAAATAGTTTGTTTTATTTATTCCTGCGGGATATTACAAATTTGTATTTGTACATAAGTTATATTGATAAATATAATCATAAATGCGGGAAGTTTCATAAAGCTTGAAAGTAAGAAATAGTTCTTTTTTATATTTTTTGGTGTATGTGGTGTCTTGTTTTTGTTTGTTTTGTATTAACACATACCGTTTTTTATTAAATAAAATAACTCGATTACATTTTTTCAGTTTTATAGAGTTTTTTGCACAACATTTTGAAGTTACTTGTCAGTCAAATTTTAAATACATATATTAATTTCCTGCTATGCGTTCCAGTTGTACCAACTTATTTCTTTGTAAAATAAAATAAACTACTTTGAAATTAAAATGACAGACACATCTATCACTGTCAAGGATCTTCTCGTTGAACAGACTATAACTATACGTCCCGCCCTCAGATGACCTTAACATCGCATTAAAGAATAGACCTTCTCTATGCACCTAATGATTTATGGACTATTCGCGAAACTCTTTAGCTGTGGGTATGAAATCCGACGGCTGGATCCTGAAGAGGACAGACATAAATAGACGAGTACAGTTAACGCGCTAAAATTCAAAATAAATTCTTTCTAGATAAATAGTTATAAATCGTTTGTAAATAGTTCTTTAAGTCTTTTGTCGTTATTGTTTTTGTTAATTAGTGTTAAATAAATACTACTACTTTCTATCCACACGGAACCGAGGAAAAATGTAACACATGTTAGAGTTTACCTTAGTAAAGCTTGCAGCTTCTCATACTCGTCCTCCCAAATGGCGAACACTTCAAAGCACTGTATCATCACCTTCTCAAACTCGTCGTACGGAATGTGCATCAGTCTTCTCGTGCCCAAAACCTTGAGCAGCTGAGCGCCTAAGTCTCGCGATATGGCTTCGACCAGCCTGAGGCATCGCTGAATCGGATACTTGGTGGAACGGATTTTTCGCAGATGAGAAAAAATCAGTTGTACGGCGGCTCTGATCCTTTCCAGCTCTGTGGCGGCCAGTAAATCGTTGATGGGGAAGTCTTTCATGAGAGGATTGTAGTCGTTCACCGTCGCGATGGCTTGTTTTAATCCGGTGTCCGTATCGAAAGACACGGTAGCATGGAATCGCTAGAAAATGATAAAAAAACAAATAAAGACTCTACCAGTGGCGGCTTAACCATGAGGTCAAATGGTCAATGCCTCCCCAAAAAAATTACGAGAAAATTAGATAAACTTATTTAAATTATTATACTTTTTGTAAATCACTTTTTTTCATCCTAAAATATTCAAAACTATCCCCAATTTATCCAATTTTCGCTTGAAAACATTTTATTTTACTCATTTTCTCTACTGCCGGTCAAAATTTAATTTTGTCCTTCGTTCCCGCTATGTTTTACACATATTAAACTCCACTTAGACAAGGAAAGAGAGGGGACGGGTAACACCAAATACATTTAAAATAAAGTATACGGAGGGTACCGCTTAAATTCCTGTCCCGATATTGAAGGATGGCTATAGAATTTCAATGCATTTCCTACATAAGTCTATCCTTGGTTTGTAGGAGGTTTGACTAAACAAGGATGAACCTATGTCTTGAACATTCGACTCGATTTTCTGTCCTCCTTCAATACTGGGACGTAAATCCTCTCATTGCTCTTATGGGGAGGCAGTCGTATATTTTATTTAAACGTATTTGGGTAACACGCATATTCTCCCGTGATCGGTTAGTGAGGCCAAAATTCGATCGGCGGCCATACTTTGGTGACAAGATTTCGAGGTGACACCGAGCGAATTTTTATGTTTTTTGTGACAACTGTTTTGTTTTAAATTTATAAACTGTGTTGTTTAGTATGGTGAGATGTTCAGCGTATGGCTGCAAAGGCCGAAGCGAGAAAAAAGTGGCTGGAATTACATTTCACAGGTAAAAATCGATACACAACTTTTGTTATGTGGTTATAAAATGTACATTTTTTTCATTATAGCAGTAAAAATATGTAAAATGCTTTTAATATGTCTTGTACCACATCCAAACCAAACTGTTTTTAATAATTCCAAGTAGTATTTTCAATATCCTGTATTATAATTAATGTTTGAAACTATAAGTATTGCTACTCAGACCGGATTTCACCAGTGTCGTAGGGAATTATAATCAGAGAAATACAATTTCAGCAATAAACATTTTTTTATATATTTCACATGTAAAAAAATGTATAAAGTATTGTTATCAAATATGTAAAATAATTGTAAACTATAAAAAAATGAAAAATTCTAGTGATAAAAAATCTATATGTATAGTTGTTATATAAAACTTAAATTTACCTGCCAAGATTTGTTGGGGGTGGACCAGGGTGAACAAACTTGTGGTGGGCTACTTGTTACTACATACATATATTTTTTTAAACATTCTTTCAAAAAATTTGCCAATTTAAGTGTATAATAATAGTTTAGTGAGTAATTAATAAAAATTTAAAAATAAATAAAATAACACAAAGCTTCTAGAACTGTTTTATTTTTTTGTGGATAAATTCGGATATTCTTAAAAATAGGATATTCTTATGATTGAAGGTAACAAATATTAAAAATTACATTGTTCATTGAATCCGTACGCAAGTGTGAAGGGTAATGGGTAGATTCATTATTATACCGTATGGTCGAAAAAAAAACGACGTCCAGTTGGCTTGTAAATGACGATCGACGACATTCCCCATATAATTTTACATATAAAATGACCATAGCCATCGCTGACGCCGTCTTTTTTCGATGTCGTTTTGTATAGTTTTTATGTCATTTTATATGTAGAATTATATGGGGAATGTCATCGATCGTAATTTACAAGCCAACTGGACGTCGTTTTTTTTTCGATTATACGGTATAATAATGAATCTAGCCAATTCCCTTCACACTTGCTTACGGATTCAATGAATAATGTAATTTTTAATATTCATTTGTGAAATTCTCATTTCCAAACAAAGAAGACGCCGTTTTTTTCGATCATACAGTATATATGTATATACACGTTTAAAACATATGTTATTAGATTATTTTTTATTTAATTATACATTATACCCACGTTAATAAATAAATAATTGTCTTGATAATCAGTCCACTGTAACTGTTAAATAAATTTTGCATTATCGACTTAGATATTCTAATATTATAAAGGTGAGACTATAAAATACAAAATTGTATATGCATTACTCAAAAATGAACGATATATTAGTTTACGTTTTAATAAATATTTTGTTCCGTCTAGGTACAAGCTAATTTCTGATGCTACGCCATTGGAGAATTTCAGGTGGTGACAACTTGCCTCACTTTCAGCTGCCGTGTTACCTGTCCCCTCTCTTTCCTTGTCTAAAAAACTCCAAGTGTCGCGGCGCGTGACGCCAACAAGGTAAGGTATACTACGTACAGAGAATATAATGGGTTAAGGTGCGATAGATATAGTTTATATTGCCCATTGACCTCGTCATTTATAAAAGGATTTGTAAGGTAGGCAACTTTATATACACTTGTATTTGGTAGTTTACTGACAGACGATATAAAAAGTGGCGGTTTTTGTCTTTGTCTAGAAACCCCAGCGTGTTATTATTGTAATTTGTAATATTGTTTATTAGTTGAGAATCAATGAGGTTATATACAGGGAGACGCTATGAGCATTTAAAGTGCTTGCGAAAAATGGTAACACTAGGCAGGCTTAAGCAGGGGCTTAACTATGGCGGCATTAGCAGGGCCGGATTACAGAAACTTCTTTGAAAAATTTTATTTTACACAATATAACGACCTCAACTTTTTTAAATAAAAAATTAATTAATCAAAATAACTACAAAACCTACAATTTTTTCAAAAATATAAATTACAAGATTAATTTTAATGACTATATACTATGTATATTTAAGCAGGAAACAAAAAAATAATACACATTAAATAAATTAAATTTTATTGCTCACTTTAATAACACTGTTTTGTTGCTAGTATGTCTTAAACTAATTGCCTTGTTTTTATTGATGTATCTAACAATAATAACCTTAACATTTAAAAAAAAATTAGAAAAAAAGCGGAAGATAATTAAACATGATTACTGATTTACCATAATTAAGATTTTGATAATCATTAAAATTTAGAAATCTAGGAAATGATTATTTATTTGAGATATTTTATTGAGATGTTCTGTCAAAACAGCTATCAGAAAAATGTTTCGAGCATAGAACACTACCTGATGTAGCTTGCCAGTTTCTCCTGTTCACAAACTTCACCCAATCTTCTCGACGGATGGGATTTTTGAAACCTAAAAATCAGATTTAATATAATATTTATTTGATAAAAATTTTCTAAAGAGAGCAAAATTTATATACTACGTACTAAATTTAAAATGTTCTGATATAAAATTTTATTAAAATAATAAATGTTTATCAATAAATATAAGTTGTTAAGACTTTATCTGCAAAAAGTAAATTTACTTTGTTGATTTTATAATATTTATCTAAAAATTGAAGCTATACTATATAAAGTTTGTACATAGTATATGCTAGCAGATGCTAAAAAGGAATGTAAATAAATGTTTAAGTACAAAATCTTAGTGTAAAAATAGAAAAATAAACCGTAGTTAAAACAAAACTTTTAAATTTGGCTAGCAAAATACTCTTCCTGTCAAAAAAGTATATGTAGTAAAAATAACAGATATTGTTAAGAATTTTTTTTACAAGAACAGAAGTCGAGGCATGTTTTAATTACTTAATTGCCTCTAACAAAGTATTAAATAACTAAACACTTTGTCAATATAGAAACACTTAATATTTAATTAATAAACGCATAACTAGTTAAATGGAAAATACGAAAATAATTTAATCAGGGCCTCTATTATGTTTACACTTACCTATGAAATGGATTCAGTGGATTTCTTCCTCTCTACACGTTGTCGACTGCAACAACTACTTACAGCACACGAAGACATGTTCGGAAAGTCCAAATATTCAAATAAAAACACAAAAATAGTCTTGGAAAATTAAAAAAACACTCGCAGCAACGCACTTAACCTCAAAAACTGAACTGTCAGAATTGCCAGTACCAATATGGCGTAACTGGGTACATTTCTCGATAGCTTATGTCGCCTCCCCCCCTTATAACCTCATTGATTTAAACACTTTATATGTATGCAGTATAGAAAATTAACTGTATAAATCATATAAAATAACCGGATACTGCATTTTTAAGAACAGCAGTTCCCAGCATCACCTTTTCCAGGCATTCTTTTTTAGAGTACTTCCATAGTTTGCTTTAAAATAATTAATAAACAATATCGTCGGCACTTAGCAAGCACTTTGTCACAATCCACAACACAAAATGAAAGTATTTATACACTCTATAGCTCTAAAAACTTTAAAAACACCTTTTTCAAATTTAAAATTGACAAAATAATTAACTCAAAATTTCTCAGCTGTTATTTTTATATAAGTTTACCATAGGCAACTAATAATACACACTGACAAGGACTACAATGACGTCACAACTGTCAACTAAAGCGCGGGACGAGGCGAACGTACATGTTATGAGGATGAGCAATCCTATTACTTTACCGTTCTTGGGTCGCGACAATAAGAGGGTGCTATTAATGCACAAACTAATAATCACAGAATTTAATACAAACTAACCTTGAATGTGGTATAATGTGCTTATCAATCAAACTTACTTCTCTGACTGCAGTCAAGGTTTAATAAAGGACCTTTATTATCACGTTCTCGTTCAAATTGTTTATCAGGAAAGCTACAAGTTTTTTGCTTCGACTGTTTAAAAATGCTTCGGCATATTTTCAACACACAATTTCAAGAAATACAATACAAAAACTCGAAAATTTAGTTCTTAAAAGAATTGTTTATGCTTAAAAGTGCAATTTAAAAAAAACTACGAAAATAAGCAAAAAAACGAGAACTGCTCACAAAGATTCAACAACAACACGATATTATACAAAATGATGACTGATATTAGAATAATTGTCAAATAATAAAGGACAACATTGCTGAACACGGCGCAATGTGACCAACATAGCGATAATAAAATTCGGTTTAAACTAATTTTTGCAGCTTTAATCTAAATAAAATATCTGTGACAATCATTTGCTATATAAAGTAAAATGAAGAGCTGCTCGGTATCTTAAATTATACAACAAATTTAAACATTTTTGCCAAAATTTAATTTAGTCGGCTTTATAGACTTTAATGTCAATGTCGATATGATTGATGACGTGCATCGGAAATTGTTTTGCTATTACAATATTTATGTTTTATTATAGTAAATATTTACCTTTCCATGTTTCAATATATCCAGTGTAAGAGATACTTCTAAGCTCTCCCTTTTTTCTTGTATCCTATGCAATGCTCTTTCCAAATTTAACCAAAAACTGATCTCTTGTAGAGCAGTACCAGAAGAAGGATCTCTGTCTAATTTAGTCACCTATAAAAATATAACACAATAAAAAACTCATTAAAATGTTTTTGCAAATTTCCAACGTTATTAAATCATATTTTTTTCAGTAATGTTTTATAATAGGCATTTTTTTGTTTATGTAATTTATTAATAATAATTAAATATAATATTATGACTAAATATCCTGTATAAAAAAATACAAAATACAATATTTATATCTTCAAAAAAGTCCTATGAGTATTTCGCCACTTACTGTAAGAAAATCTACAAAATAAGATAATTTTTGTAAACACTGCTGCTTTAATCCAATGGAGGTCAACTTGTCAGCAATGATTTACTAAATTTGCCTAACGGGCAATAAAATGCTTGACATTTCGGGAAGTATGTCTCTTCCCGTCGTCGGAAGCAAAAAAACACAAAGAACAAAGAAAAAAATTATTTAATATATCTAAATATAATTTTTTAAGAACACTTGTTTTTTTTTCAACAGATACGTCTATAAAAACCATTGACGTTCTGTTCAAAATGACATTATATCAAGTTAAACTTCAAAATTAACAATTACTACCTGATAACAATTACTTAATGAGGTAAAACCAAAGACATTATAAAGATAGACCGAACATCTCATTCACAAATACTCGTTGGTAGTGTATCAAACATTCCAATGTATCAAACAAGGACAGAAGAGACGGAGAAGTCTAAAATTTCCGACCACGGCAACTAGGCGCATTTGGATTGTTCTAATGGCCAGTGGCGTATCGTTTTTTGGAACGAATTTAAAAGTAAAGTAATTAGTAAAATTTTTACCCCATATTAATATACTACATTAACACTTTTTCGTTAGATGAGTTTTGTTATAAGGTCTAATATAATAATATAATTAATATCTCACATATACTTATGTTGAAACGTTAATAGGTAGTTTTCGAAAATCGCTCCAACGTCGATATTCAATTTAAACTTTCAGTTACTTCTATATAAACACTCAGTTACTTTTGAATACTTACAGGGTGACTCAGGCTTCCAAAACAGTTCTATATTAGATTTGTGGTTAGTGACTTTTCTTTCAATTTTTTTTAGAATATGGAGGCAATGGTAAAGCACGTTTTAGACATTTTTGTAATCATAGGTGGCCGGAACATATTTTCAAACTAAAGTTGTAGATTTGCCATTAAATTTCCATTCCAGAAATACCTAGGGTTGCCACCTGTCCTTTTTTGAAAAGGACAGTCCTTTTTTGGAATAACTTGTCCTTTTGACTTAAAAAGTCATTTTTATTTACGTATTTTCCCTGAGAGAAGAAGAGAACTTAGAACTTCCCGTTTAATCTCTGAGAAAATTACCTACAGCAAACAGAAATATTCTTTTCGTCCAAATTTAATTAGAGATGTTATAAAACTTATAAATAAATTTTTCTTGTTTAGAATAGGCAACATTATTTAGAATTTCCCGTTTAATCTCAAATGATAGTTTAGATTTTAGTTTTACCTTTTTTGATCTTAAAAAGAACTTTTCAAAATTAGTAATTAGTAACGATTTAGTTAGTTCGCAATCGATAGCTTCCTGTGAAGTACTGTGTAATAGTTGTTTAATCTTGTATTCTTAATAAGTTCCTATACCTAAAATCAATATTTACTTTAATCCTTTTAGTCTCTCAATAGAGGGCATTTATCATTAAAAGTATCAAATCTGTGTGCTACAGTACGGGATTTCTGTCGCATAATAATGAATATTACGTTTATTTACAAAACCATTACTTAGGTAGCTTAATCAGACAATCAAATTTTAGTTAAACGTCCCAATCTTCATAAACTGTATTAAGCATATGTATTGCGGTTTGAATCACCCTGTATGTTGACAAAAATATTTTGAAAATGTGCGTTACAATGGCCCCGATCTTATGTAAAGATTGAAATAAAAATCACAAACCAAATACGTAATAGGTAAAAAGCTTTTTTGGAGGCCTGGGTCACTCTGTATATAGGTATGTATAAAACTAGTAGCCTAAGAATTATTTATAGTTCGTCCCATTCTAAAAAAAGCTAAACACACCGTACAAATAACTCTAGGAAAAACTATAACACTAGGTAAAAACTTGCCTAAACAAGACCGAAGGGGCAGATACAAGATATAATTAAGCAATAAAATGTAAAAAAGGTCGGGTAAACACCTTTGTTTACTTGTTGACCAAAATGCTTTTAGAATATCGTATATAATGACCAAAATATGACGCAATTAAAAAAAATGTCACTTTCTGTCATATAATAAAGTTTCAAATGCAACGTTTATATTCAAATTTGTTATGATCTACAACAGTTAGGTAGTAATTGAGACGGATTGTAATTCAATTACCGGCTACTACGTTCTTGTTTTAATAGATCAAAATTCAACAAATATAATTCGAAATTATTTTAATTTTGAGAGGCTCCCTTGTGGGACGCCTATGTACGATTACGGCGAAAACAATACCTACCTGTGAAAAGACAAATTCGGGTAATTTGAGCTTATTTTTCCACACATTTGACACTGTCCTACCATATTGAAAATTCGCAGATTCAAAAGTACGTTAAACAAAAACAAAAACTACTGAAAACCATTGAAAAGTTCACTTCGGCCTTGATTCCGACTTCAAACACACCGTAAGCTAAACGTAGTACGCTATAACGGACCAAGGGCCGTCGCGAGGGGTGGTAGGACGGACGGCTCATTTCATTCTGGAAGACTAGCAGCGACGTTGCCAATAGTTCTAGACGTTTCAGCACATTAAACAGTAAACATGTCCTTTAATAGTAACGCATATATCCTCTGGTTAATAACATATTATTACGCATGCTTCTTTAAAAATCAACTATTAATTTTATTAAGAAATTGAGATTTATTGAAATCCGATGAAGGTTTTAGTGTCACCTTTTCTGCAAATCAAACTAAGTAGATAGGCGCAAATTTGAGATGTGGCAATGTCACCTTCTCTATCTCAGTTGGTTTTTACAGTACGTAGTCAACCTCCGGTTGTTTGATCGGGTTAAAATGCACAATGTGATATCTGTTCTTACTAAATCTATGGGTAAAACCAAAAAGCCTCAAACTTTCTGTATGATTATTTTTTAAATTGATTTTGTTCTTTTATAATGTTATGTTCATTAAAATCAAAATTAAATAGTTTTTTTTCATTGTTCTTTGTGTTTTTTGCTTCCGACGCCGACGACGGGAAGAGATATACTTCCCAAAACGTTAAGCATTTTTTTGTCCGTTAGGCAAGTTTGTTTATTAGTAAATCACTGCTGACAAGTTGGTCAACAACACTGCGTCGGATTAACGCAGTGTTTACAAAAAATAACTATTTTACTTTGTAGATTTTTTTGACAGTACCAGTGGCGAAATACCCATAGGACTTTTTTGAAGAGATGAATCCACCACAGAGGTATAGACATTTTTTACAATAGGTATTTACAAACAAACAAACAACGCTTTATTGTGCAAAAAGTCAAAACAGCTTCATCGACAAAGCACTCACAAACATCAAAATCACAAAAAAATACAAACAACAAAAAATACACAATACAAATAATACAATTCAAAAAAATATAAGTCTTTAAAATTACAAAAAGAATATACATGGACAATTTTAGAACAGTACGCAGTAAATAGATAGAATTTTAAAGTTATAAAATATTAAATACTTGACCATTGACATAAACTAAAACTTTGACTAAACATCAACAAAAAACTCGTTTACCGCATATAGGGCTCTCTCCAGCAGGTATGATTTTAGAGCTTTGCGAAATGCGGGAAAGAATGAAAGCGATTTGATGTTCAAAGGCAGATGATTGTACATTTTTTTGGCATTGTACAGTATTGAACCTTTAACTAGTTCTGAGCTCGGGGTTGGCAGATAAAGATCGTGCTCTGCATTCCTAAGTGGATAGTTATGAGATGGCCTTTCGGGAATAGCAGATATGTGCTTGCGGATTCAAAAATGAATAAAGAAGGAAGAGTCAGTATTTTCAAATTTTTAAAGAAATTCTGGCAGTGAGTTCTACTGTTCAGTCCCAATAAATATCGAACTGCTCTCTTTTGAAATCTGAAAACACGATCAAATTTTGTTGCGCAGCAAGTACCCCAGAATGGAAGGGGCATAACGAAGATGTGACTCAAAAGGGCATAATAGGGTATTCTAGAGGTTGAGAAGTTAAGTTCCTTAGAAACTGATCTTAACGCAAAACAGGCAGCGCTTAGTTTCTTTGATAGAGCTTCAATGTGAAAGTCCCATTTTAACGAGTTGTCTACAAGAAGTCCTAAGAACTTCACAGAGTCCACGACGTCAATAGTAGTGTTATTAAGTACAAAAGGTTGGGTATAGTACTTTTATATGACAAAACTTTAGTTTTTGATAAGTTGAGGCATAGGAGATTAGAATCGCACCAAGACTTAATGGTGCCGTAACATCTGGGCCGCTCCAAGTGAAACTAGTATCGTCCGCAAAGAGGCAGATTTTACCGCTAATGTCTAGATTTGCAATGTCGTTGATAAACACCAGAAACAAAATAGGGCCAAGTACTGAACCCTGAGGGACACCACATTCTATAGGCTTACAAGAAGACATAGACGTATCAATCCTCACAAGCTGCCTTCTGTTGCCAAGATATGACTTAAGCCATTCGAGCGGCACTCCCCCGAAACCGTAGTATTGCAATTTATTAATTAAGATATTATGATTTACACAATCGAAAGCCTTAGAGAAATCACAGAAAATTGTAGCTGTAGAGTGATGGTTATTCAGGCTAGAGTATACATTATTAAAAAGGTCGAACATAGCATCATTTGTGCAACTGTTACTTAGAAATACAAATTGATGGGTAGTAAGTATTTTATATTTAAGGAGAAAAGATAGAAATCTTTTTTTAACCAATCTTTCAATGATCTTAGATAATGTGGGCAGGAGTGCAATTGGCCGATAGTTCGAAGCTTCATCTTTATCACCTCCTTTATACAGAAGAATAATTATTGCTGTCTTAAGGCAGTTTGGAAAAACTTCATTTTGGAATGACTCGTTAATTAAAGTAGTAAGATGGTTTAATGTGCATTCAGGAAGTTCAGAGAACATTTTGAGAGTAAGCCCATCAGTCCCAGATGAGGATTTGTTTTTAATGCTATTAATTGTACTACGGAGCTCATCTAATGCTACGGGCGTGAGGAAGAAACTGTGTAAATTCTCATTTGCTTTAGGGAGATATGAAAGTGAATCATGGGAAGGAGTTATGGTGTTCACTAAATTTTTAGCCACATTAACAAAGTAAGTGTTTAAATCTGTGTTTATAGGCTATCCAATGAGAAAAAGTTTGACAGTGACAGTTGTGTCACTTAATTTCTAAAGAAAAATTATTATCCTTCATTTTTTACGTTGTCTGACAAAATCGTTACTTCGTTGTCGTAAGTAGGATTTATATGGTGGGTTCATGTTTCCAATCTTAGCCCTAACACTAACATTAGTCCTAACCCCAAGAATATGAATCAACGTTAACGAACGCTAGCGTTCAAGGTTCCGTTGTATCGATCTTAACATTAGCCTTAAGCTTGATTTTCATGCATCCGTTATACGTTGGTCCGACGGTGCTCTGATTGGTCATAGCGTTTTCGCGCAACTTTTCATCCGTAAATATTTTACTTCAGCCCGTCAACGGACCCGTTCATACGATAACGGACGATTTGACAAATTCAATCTAACAACAATAACATCTAACAATAATACAATTCGATAGACAATTAAATTGTGCATCTGATTCACGTAAAATATATAGGGTGTTCTATTTAAATTTTAACAAGTTATTGTCGTTTAAAGGTAGTAATTATTTTAAATAAATTTTTAGACATTCTTTATACGTTAGCTTTAGTTTTATTATTGCAACACAATATTTAGTAAATAAGAAAACTTCAGTACAATATTTGGTTTTAAAAACTTAAATACGCCTAGAAAAATGAATCATTAAAATTGTTAATGCATTTTCACAAAATCGTAAATATTTAATAAACGGTAAGATTAAAGTGCAAATCTCCTCAAAGCAGACTCTAGCACAGCAGCAGACATACTGCATCCTCTAATTACACGAGCTTGGGTATCTAACATCATCCCAGATGAATGGAAACAGGGTCTCATTATTAAACTCCCTAAAAAAGGAGATACCACTAACTGTGACAACTGGAGAGGTATTGTTTTGTTAAACACCATTCACAAGATATCCTCTATAGTTCATTTAAGGTTAAACTCCTATATAGAGCCTACTCTGAAAGAGAACCAAGCTGGTTTCAGACAGAACCACTCGTGCATTGACCATATTAACACATTGCGCATTATCATAGAGCAGTCAATAGAATTTAGGTCACCTTTATTCTTATTATTCATAGATTTCGTCAAAGCTTTAGACAGTATCCCCCATGCGATGGTATGGAAAACTCTAAAAGAAAAAGGTGTTCCGGAAAAACTAATTAATATAATCAAGGAACTCTACAGAAACACAGAATGCAATGTGCTGCACAACGGTAGAACCAGCGACAGTTTTAACTTAGGGACAGGAGTAAAGCAGGGTTGCACATTATCGCCGCTTCTATTTAATATCGTGCTCGACACCGCATCTGACGGATCTTGATTATGCTGATGATATCTGTCTCACAACGCAATCCTTCAAAGACATGGAAGTGATGCTCAGACGTCTAAAAATAGAAGCAGACAAAGTAGGATTAAGCATAAACATCGACAAAACAAAGTCAATGCGCATTAACACAAACAACAACACTCCAACTAAAAATTTACAAAGAAACTGTTGGGTGTTTCGATGCCATGTGCCTTTTAAAATTTGTAGTGCGTGTTTTTTATGATATTTTTGCTGCACACATATTGCACTTAAAATTTTCATCAATTACCTACCAAAAAAAAATCCACAAATAACTTAGTTTCCTTTTTTTAAACATTTTTGATTAGAACAGACCGAATAAATTTAAAAGGGAAATTAAAAATACATAAAATGTTCAAAATATTCGAATGTGCTTTTAGACAGTAGGTATACTAACGAAAAATTTATTATAAAAAAGGTTGCCGCCAACCTTAATTCAGATAACTAGAAAAAAAAAACTGTTTATTTTATTAATAAACATTTTCTTTATATGTAACTCAAAAGAAGCCGAGTGCAAACTTTCGAACTTTTAGATAAATAAAAGGACAATATCACATTTTATTATATTTAAAATTTCTCTAAAATGAAAAAAACTGATTGTAAAGGATGTATTTAAATTAACATAGCAGCCGATCCACAACTGTTAGTATATTCAGAAAATTATATTATATTATGGATTGTTATAAAAATGTTTATAATAATATAATATATAACAAAATATAATAAATAAAAAGGGCTGTTTCTTTTCCGTGCTCTATATCTTCTAGTAAATAAAGGATAAAAATAGATAATTTTTTATAATTTGAATGCAAAACTGTCCTTATGAATCATTTTACCTGAATCATTACCTGGGAGCAACTGTAACTATAACTAGCCATAACCGAAAACAAGAATTTTTTAACCTTCTCAATCCATAATTAGATTATAAATCTAAAACTATTATCAAAATTTAAAACTAATAAATTTTAAATTTAAAACTAATATATATTATGCGGTATATAAACATATATAAGCCTATTTTCCAACGCTTCATAAAATTACGGGCCCTGATTGCGAATGTGATTTTGCGATCTAGTCTAGGCCGATGTGTTGGGAGCTGCGAACGAAAATCGCAATCGCCGCCCTTCGTTGGCGTGCCCACTCCCGATGCCGCGCCGGTGCCAACGAAAATCGCAATCGCAATGCTGGGATGAGCTGCGATTTTCGTTCAGCTCCTCGTTCGCCTATCCACTACCGTGTTGAAGACGCGCCGCCGCCGGCCGGGGCGTACGAGAATCGCAATATTGCGATTTTCATTCGCAGTTCATCGTTCGGCTTCTCAGTGCCGATGCCGTGTCGATGCAACGTTGCGCTGGTGCGAACGAAAATCGCAATGCTGTGATTTTCGTTCGCAGCTCTTCGTTCAGGTGCCCACTGCGATTGCAAATCGCAACTGATGTAATATTGGTTGCCTAAAGATCCAAAATCGGCAGATATATGTTTCAATCGCAAGTCGCAGTTTACTATGGAAAGGAATCACAGGTTGCGATTGCGAATTTACAATCGCTGCGATTATATCGCAGTTTGCGATTTTCTGCTCATCTCTAATATCGATTATTTTCTTAAGGCAAGTAGGAGAAGAAGTAAAACCTCTGACAAGGGGTAGGGGACAAAAAACTCACAATATGTACTCACACTGGGTTGGAGAACGTTTAGTTAAGTAGGAGAAGTATGAACGGCATTTCCTTAAGTTCTTAAAGTTAATTTCTTAGGGTTAATGTTAAGGGTAAGGTTAAAACTAAATTCACGAAGTTTGAACCCACCAATACAGTTCAATAAATAAATGCATCAACAAAATTGTTTCGCTAGAGAGTAATAACTTATTGATAATCAAAATAAGAAATTACTTTTTGAATTTCCTTGATCCATCTATTGACGCCATGCTGCAACTGGTTTAAAAAGTTGGAATCTTCGACCTTATCGCTGAAATCGGACACTTTAGGTTTTCTAAATTCGTCTGCGGCACACTGTTTTATCAGGGAGGCCACGTAGGGATGTACCGGTAATGTAATTTCTGGAATGTCGATGTTTTGTTGTAAATGAAGCAAACCCATTTCCAGTTCGGCGATCGTCTTCTCAACAGAGGGCGCCATTTTGTCACCATCTCTATAAAGGGACATTACGTTTAATTAGTAATTATTATACAGGGTTATTCACCTCATTCGACCCGGAGTACTGTAGCCAAATGATTGGATTTTTAGAAACTGTGAGTGATCGGATCATTAGAGGACTACTAAAGCTACAATTTAAAATTATTTTCAAAAGGTACAGATTGTCCCAAATAAATAAAAAATATCAAAGTTGTATTTTTTTAAACGGAAAACTGTATATTATTACATTTTTAGTTTCTACGATTGAAGTAAAGGTAGATTCGATTAAGGTTTGCCACATTTTCATCTTACCGTTTTTGAAATATTTAGGTTTTTGTCAAAATACAGTAATAATTTTAATGCTTTGTTTCTCTAGGCGTATTCAAGTTTTTAAAACCAAATATTGTACTGAAGTTTTTCTATTTATTAAATTTTGTATTGCAATAATAAAAATAATACTACCTTATAGAGAGTGTCTAAAAATTTATACTAAATAATTACTAGCTTTAAATGAAAATAACTTGTTTAATTTAAAGGAAACACCCTGTATATTTTACGTGAATCAGATGTACAATTTGATTGTATATCAAATTGTATTATACAATTTTTTTACCTATCTCTTCAAGTTTTCGTAGAAAATGCTTTTTCTTATAATTTAGACCTCATTTATCATATACCCATGGAATATTGACATTTTAGATATATTTTTAAAGCAACAAATGTACAAAAAGTATAGGTGCTAATCCCGATAATATTACTAGCCCATTTGTTTACAAAAAGAAAACGATTTAAGTCTATTTTTTTCGGGGAGCTACAACACTCCTTGTCGAATGAGGTGAATAACTCTGTATATTATGTCCATCCTTTTTCAAAAAAGTTTTTCTTGTACATCAAACGGTTTGAAAATATCTAAAAGTGGTGCTTGTCAGATATAACACCCTCCGAATTTGGCATTTATTTATATATTAGTCAAAAGCATACACTTAAATAAGAATTTTAAGCAAAAAAAATTGCGGATGAACCACAATTTATTGAAAAATAAATAAATTAAAAGTGCATTTTTAGGTTATGGTGAAGTTGTATAAGCGTGTAATTATTGTAAAATATGACGATTATATGCATTTTTTATTAATATAAAGGTCAGAATTAATCAATGAGAAGCATTAATAAGTCATAAATTAAAAATAGAGTTGGTAATATCTTTTGTAATATTTGCCTGATCGATTTACTCTTTCGATTCAAACTTGCCGCCGGAGCTGTCTGTCACTAGATGTTGTTAAGAATGTTGCATAAGCATTGTTGCCAAAGTTATTTCTTGTTTGTATGATTTCTTGTTGTATAGACAGCGATTGTTCATTCCATAGCCATGGCTGACGCCGTTTTTTTTTTCGATCATACGGTACAGTACGTCTGTTCGTTCTGTAGCTACGGGGTATCCGTGAGAGGGGAAACGATATTCTCTCGATGTTTTTCGTAAAAAATTAGACGACGCGTCCCATCAATAAAAATTCGACAAATTTGCAAGTGGCCAATAAAATGAGTGGGCGGAGCGATTAGCGGTACGTACTCGTCAAGTCGACGTATAAAATATATTTCTGTTTATTTAAATGTTTTTTGTCCGCATTCCTTTCATAGACACAGATCCAGCAGATGTACTGTACGTTACATGATACAAAAAAAGAGTTGAACCGAAAGAGTTTTGATTGCGCTGGTTTCAACCTTTTCGTTGAGGTTAATCTTTTGTTATGTTTTTTTTTATTTCTTAACTTAATCTGTTCTTAACGCGAGTTTTCTTCCGACCAGCACGTGTTTTTTTAATGAACCTTTCAAGAAGAAATGAATGAATCTGGCAACGCCGACAAAATTTGGAGGAGTTTTCGCATAGAAAGTAGCCTGTTGTAGCAATAATTAGATGTTTATTTTTTCATTAAATTATGGATCATCCACACTTTTTTTTGGCTTGAAATACTTATTTCGATGTATGCTTTCGAGTGATATAAAAAAAAGTACAAAATTCGGAGGGTGTTATATCTGACAAGCACCTCTAAAAGTACTTTCCGACATATTGCGATTCAATTCTTATTTAAATTTTTAAAACTCAGTAGAAAAAAAAATTACCTGTCTGCTCGTCCAGATTCCTTAACATACGACTTAAAGAACGGTGCGACACTCTTGCTGACATAATCGTGCAGAATTTCGTATGGAGAACCATCACTGAAGTTCAACATGCGCACCTTAAAAATAATAACGTATACAGGGTTTCTCACCGTAGCCGTTCGTTAGAAGTTTTTGAGGTTAGGAAAAATTTAGAAGTTTGAAATTTTGAGGCTTAGAGTTGTTTAAAATTTCCTTTCATTTAAAAATATTTTCAAGGTCACACCACTTCCGGTTACATCGGAAGTAGCCATTAACTTCCTTTTTTTAAATGGAAAACCCTGTATATTATTTTATTTTTGGATTTCTAAGAAAATTTTATGATGAGTTTCATTAGGTTTCCCTATACCTATTTTCAACTGTTTCTCAGATATCTTGGTTTATTTGAAAATTTTTATAGATTTACCCATAGACAAACAGAAAAATTAAAAGATTGCCAGAAGACATACGATGCGCAGGCAAATGTTCCTGTAGCGCATCGACGCAAGTGCGGAAATACGTCCATCTAGCTATCCTTAGCCATCTGTGTTTCGACACTAGTCCGTTAGTCTTAGCATATTCAGAAAGAACACGCTAACCTCCAGCGTTGCCAATTTGTGGGGAATTCCCCAAATTTTGGGGAATCCGGAGCCGATTGGGAATTTTGTTGGGATTAGCAATAGGCGTCGAAAATAAGAGGAGTTTCAACATTTTATTGCTGATTGAAAATGGCGTAAAATTTTTAGCTTTAAAAACGGAGCGGGACGATATATCTTTCCCAACTTAGAAATTATTATCTGCTTTTTACTTGTGCTTCCCTTTGCAAATGCTTCAGTTGAAAGAAAATTAGTGACCTCAAATTATTTAAGGACTACTAGGAAAGGGATTAAAAAACAAGGAGGTAATTTACAGTTTAATCCCTCTAACATATATAATAAATATTGTATTTTTATTAAAATTAATTTTTTTTTGTTAAAATAATCATATGGGGAATTTTTGGTAAATCGGGACATTTTTCTCCCCAAATTGGCGAATTTAATTTAGATTTTTGGGTAGTTTAGAAAATTGACATTGGCAACGCCGCTAACCTCATTCTTTTGTTTGTTGTTTGTTCAAAAACCGGCACACGGCGTAGTACAAGGTTTGATCATCTTTTAAGAAATGTTTGATTGTTAATTTTATTTTTGTGCAAACTAAACAGTTGTTTTTTATTAAAAAATAGCAGACAAAGGTAAGAAAGATAATGTCCACGCAGAAGTTTTTATTTCACAGGCTATTCTTTCTAGAAATTATACCATCCAGCCCTCCTATTTAATTATTAAATGAAAGTGTGAAAGAGATATCAAGGGCTATTCTGTTAAAATATCATCCGGCCAGTCTAGGCCCTGTTGTGAACCAGAAGGTCTGCTGTCTGCTAAGTTGGATGTTGGATATAGAATGGAAGGAATATCATGGCCGAGAACAAGGCATAATTATATGTCCCGTGATGTAGGGGGGTAGGTTTGTTTCTAATAGGCAGTAAAACCAAAAATTCTACTGTGAATCTTCATATTCTAGGCCTGTAAAGATAAATAATTCCTGGAGCCATCTCGAGGTATAGTAAGTACTCAAGTCGGAGCGAATCAATTGGTAGCACGTTGAAATAAAATAATAGCCATCATAAAACTGTAAATATGGATATAACTAGTACAATGTAGCTATTTAACTGTAAGTACAATGTAGCTAGATATTTAGTAGAGTAGGGTATTATAAATTAATACAAAATACAATAATTGGTCATTCTTTCCATTCCCATTCAATTCTTCCCATTTAATCGTTTTCCCATAAAAAAAGGAAAATTAAAGTTAAGAGTGCCCTTAACCAAAAATAGTGAAATAAATGGAGATAGTCAAATTTTATATTAGCGTGTAAGACTTTGAATAAAAAGGTGTAAAAGGATTATAAATGCTGTATTTATATCCTTTAATATCATGATAATATAAAATTTGAGTAGATATCTCCATTTATTTCACTGTTTTTGGTTAAGGGCACTCTTAGTTTTTGCCTTAAAAATAATAAGTATAATAATAATTTAAATCTCCCGCTCTTTCATGGTTCGTTCCTGTAGCCAAGTAGAGGGCGCCAAAAGCGCAATCTCCCAACATTTTACCACGCGATTCACCACTCTCTAAACTATTAACTTTCTCTATGGATTTACCACTATTTTTAACAGTGGGTCTTTTACTTATTTTGAATCGGTGATAAACGCTACTGCGGGAAACCGAAGCAGAGGACTAATACTTTCGAAGCCCATATTGACAACCAATTTATTGCATACAGGGTGTCCAAAATTTGATAACTGATCAGATTATTTTCAAACTCAAAAAAGTTAATTTTTTCAAATGAGACACCCTGTATATTTTTCGACAGTTGGATGCAGAATTCAATTCTGCATCGATTTGCTATAATTTACCCTATACCCATTTTCAACGGTTTTCTTGTTAATCCCTATTTTTTACTTTAATTCAATTTTTGGCAGAATCGACAATATGCACGAGCAGTTGGCATTAATGTTTGGAGATCGCTGGATTGGTCCACAAGGACCCTGGAACTAGCCGTCACAGTCACCCGATTTAACACCCCTCGATTTTTACCTCTGGGTACTCTACGCCTGTACGTACTAGGGACTTACTAGGGAGTTATTGAACCGTGTTAACAATGCGTTTACTTAATCTATGCCCAGACAAAATCCGGAGGTTTGTTTCGCAAGGAGTGCATCGCAGAGCACTTCGAACAATAATTTTTGTAATTATTGTGTTTACTTTTTTATTATAGTGGGGATATACTAACGTCTAGTGTTAATAATTAATGCCTCACCGTTACTGTTATACGTTTGTTTTGTTATGTTATATTTTATATGATTTTACTTTTGTTTTATTTCTGTTTTGTTAGTATGTTCTAATTACATTCAATTTCGTTACTTTAACATAATTATTTTATTTAAAAAAACACAAACGATATTGTCGATTCTGCCAACAATTGAATTAAAATAAAAAATAAGGATTAACAAGAAAACCGTTGAAAATGGATATAACGAAAGTTATAGCAAATCGATGCAGAATTGAATTCTGCATCCAACTATCGAAAAATATACAAGGTGTCTCATTTGAAAAAATTAACTTTTTTGAGTTTGAAAATAATCTAATCAGTTATCAAATTTTGGACACCCTGTATGTGATAAATTAGTTGTCAATATGGACTTCGAAAGAATTAGTCCTCTGCTCCAGTTTACCGCAGAAGCCTTTATCACCAATTCAAAATGAGTAAAAGACCCACTGTTAAAAATAGGGGTAAATCTGTAAAAATTTTCAAATAAATCAAGATATCTGAGAAACAGTTGAAAATAGGCATAGGGAAATCTAACAAAAGCCATCATAAAATTTCCTTAGAAATCCAAAACTAAAATAATATACAGGGTGTTCCATTTAAAATAAAGAAGTTAATGGCGACTTCCGGTGTAACCGGAAGTGGTATGACCTTGAAAATATTTTTAAATGAAAGGAAATTTTAAATAACCCTAAGTGTCAAAATTTCAAACTTCTAAGTCTTTCCTAACCACAAAAACTTCTAACGAACGACTACGGTGAGAAACCCTGTATATTTATCTCAATTTTGACTTAGGAAAAAGTACATCAACAAAATTGGCAAGATCCTTCAATTAACTCTGTATAATAAGCCAAATACCGTATGATCGAAAAAAAACGGCGTCTAGTTGGCTTGGAAATGACGATCGATGACATTTCCCATATCATTTTACATATAAAATGACAGCGATCTTCATTTCATAGCCATCGTTGACTCCGTTTTTATTCGATCATACGGTACTAAAATTTATAAAAAAACTGAGTTTACGAATTAAAGTTGATTTATTTCTATACAGTTTGCTAAAAAATACTTCATGAAAATAGGGCTAAAAATATCAAAAATATAACACTTTAAATTTGATGAAAAATTTTCCGTTGCGTTTTTTTTGCATCTCAGTGTAAAAATGTTTACTCCTTTCTTAGTCTACTTATTTAATGCTATAATATGAATAGAATACCTGAGCTCTAATACTTTTGTCTGCTTCAATTACTGCTCCCCGTTTAATACAAACCAAACTGGACATCTTTGAGCTGGAATAATGAACTTCATTTCCAACATAGTATATCACTGGTTCTTTTTCTTCTTCACCTTCTGGTGGTTGATCTGAATCATCATCTGAAAAAAAAATCTTCTAAAAAAAGACTAGACAGGGTATGGCAGTAGTGCGTTGGGCATCTGTAGCTCCTAGAATAAAAAACTTGGGAATGTTGTTCAAGTGCAAACCTAAAGTATTTACTAAGATGTATTTCAGGAAAATATTTTAACTTCTATAGAGTTGTTTAAATAGAACACCCTGAATATTATTCTTTTATTAGATGGATAATTAAAAAATTAACATTTTTTGTATTTAGAGTATTTCAAATTTTTAAGCTGTTTCGCAAATATTCGCGGTTTTATATTTCATATGGCATTTTCCACAGTATATTTTTACAAAGCCACCCAATGATTTGTCTCTCGTATTTACCCTTGAAAGAGCCATATAAAATAATACTGCGTGTATCTGTGAAACCATTAAACATTTTGAAATACTTTAAATACAAATAATGCTCATTTTTTAACTCTCCATCTAATAAAAAATAATATACAGGGCGTCCCATTTAAAGAAAACGTATTTTATATTTTAGAAAGTTTGGAAAAAATTTTGAACACCCTTTATGATTTAAGATTACAATATTTATAGCAAAATAAGTATAAAAAGGTAAATACCTAATAAAGCTTTTATTTCAGGACAGTTTTCTTCCTTGTAATAATTTTTTTTAGGTTGAAAAATATTTTTTTTTTATTACTCGAAATTGCACAGTATCCTTAACTTTTTTCGATTAGTTCAGTATTAAATAATGGTCTCTTCAGTGCATACATAATTATCTAATAATTATTCTTACAAGTAAAACACACTGTTTAATTGCCAAATCCGTATGCATTCCATTTTTCATTGATTTGAATATGTGTAAACAAGGGTGTAAACAGAATATGGATTTTGCCATCTAACAGGTGCAAATAAGCTATCTATACCTTTGGATGAATTCCTCTGAACGAACAGAGTGGTGATTTGGGGATCGCCAATAAATTTCCTTATACATTCTTGGGTTGCTTTGTCGTCGAGGGCGTTCACCAGGTTTTTCGGTTCCGCTTGTGAATCATCCTCAGGTAACAGTACCGTTGCCGCCTTTAAAATATAGTTAGTAAAATCGGTAAAGTCCACCAGAGCGACATTCTGGGGCTCCGGAGTGTTTTCGGTCCCTTCTAAAGAATCCCCCATTGCTAGAGGCGGAATAAAAAGTTTACAAATCACAAAACATTAACAATGCTTTAGCTTCGGCTGATCATTACAAAATTAGAAATGAGTAACACGTGGTAACACTATCACGGATTAAAAAACACAGTCTACGGTCAATGTCAAGGTGTACAATTCTAATAAACTAGGAAAAAATCATGTAAAAAATTGTCAATGATGAATTTGATTACTGACCGATGGTATATTGACAGGCAGGTGACGATGACAGATGACAGCAATGACAGGCTTACTATTAGCAATGTTATTCGTTATCGATATTTTAAAATATCGATTTGATATCGATACTTTTTTGAAATATAATTGACCTTCGCCAGATTGTCAAAAAAATAATTATATATAAATTGTTTAATAACTTTGTTTAATAAAATATGGTATAATAAATATGTAAGTAAAACACTTAGTTTGCAGTTTTGCCATTGATTGAAAAAATTGAGAACTATTCCTTCAATCAACGGTTTACGACAGTGTTTAAGCGTAAAAGTGCTTTACTTTTGTGCCTAGCCTTAACTTCTACAGGGTGGCTCCCAACAAGTGTGATATTATTGCATTTTTGGCTTTCTTTCAGATCACTTTACCTTATCCTAAGATATGACTAAATATGTTTCTATAATTTCAAAGATATTAATAAATAAATAAAAAATATATATTTTTCAACCTTCCTAAAAAAATTAGTACAAAAATACAAGAAGTGTCCTGAAATCAAAACTATATTAGGTGTTTACTTTAGATGGTCTAATAGTTACTTTGCTATAGATATCGTAATTTTAAATCATACAGGATATTGAAAATTTTATGTCGAACTTTCTAAACTATATAATAATTTTTCTTTGTTTTTTTAAATGTTATATTATTTATATAGGTATATTATTTTTTATTAGATGGAGAATTAAAAAATGTACATTTTTTGCAGATACATGCAGTATTATTTCATACAGCTCACCGCTCTCACAACGGTAAAATACGAGGGAAAAATTATCGGGTGACTTTGATACAAAATTTACTGTGGAAAATATCATATAATGTATAAAATCGCGAATATCTGTGAAACCGTTAAAAATATTGAAATATTCTAAATACAAAAAATGTTTGTTGTATTTTTTAATTCTCCATTTATTGAAAAAATAATATACATGGTGTTCTATTTAAAAAAAAACAAAGAAAAAATATTTTATATTTTAGAAAGTTTGGCTTAGAATTTTGAACATCCTGTATGATTTAAGATTACGATATTTTTAGCAAAGTAAGTATAGACCATCTAAAGTAAATACTTATTATAGTTTTGATTTCAGGACAGTTGTTCTTGTATTTGAAATGTCTATGTCTTGTATTTGAAATGTCTTTGTCTATGTCTTCTTGTAAGCCTGTAGAATGTGGTGTCCCTCAGGGTTCAGTACTTGGCCCTATTTTATTTCTGGTGTTTATCAACGACATTGCAAATCTAGACATTAGCGGTAAAATCTACCTCTTTGCGGACGATACTAGTTTCACTTGGAGCGGCCCAGATGTTACGGCACTATATGATACTATATCCAGTGACCAAACCAAACCATTAAATCTTGGTGCGATTCTAATCTCCTATGCCTTAACCTTTCAAAAACTAAAGTTTTGTCATATAAAAGTACTATACAACCTTTTGTGCTTAATAACACCACTATTGACGTCGTGGACTCTGTGAAATTCTTAGGATTCTTAGGACTTGTTGTGGACAACTCTTTAAAATGGGACTTGCACATCGAAGCCTTATCAAAGAAACTAAGCTCTGCCTGTTTTGCGCTAAGATCAGTGTCTAAGGAACTTAACTCATCAACCTCTAGAATGGTCTATTATGCCCTTTTTGAGTCGCATCTTCGTTATGCCCTTCCATTCTGGGGTACTTGCTGCGCGACAAAATTTGATCGTATTTTCAAACTTCAAAAGAGAGCAGTTCGATACTTATTGGGACTAAACAGTAGAACTCACTGCCAGAATTTCTTTAAAAATTTCAAAATACTGACTCTTCCTTCCTTATTCATTTTTGAATCCGTTTGCTTAATCCGCAAGCACATATTCTCTATTCCGGAAAGGCCTTCTCACAACTATCCACTTAGGAATGCGGAGCACGATATTTATCTGCCAACCCCGAGCTCAGAACTAGTTAAGGGCTCAATACTGTACAATGCCAAGAAAATGTACAATCATTTGCCTTCGAATATCAAGTCACTTTCATTCTTTCCCGCATTTCGCAAAGCTCTGAAATCATACTTACTGGAGAGAGCCCTATATGCGGTAAACGACTTTTTTGTTGATGTTTAATCATGAACAATTTAGAATTTTAATTTTAATATTTTGATCATCTCACACACTGATGGTTAAAGGTCTAGTATTTAATATTTTATAACTCTTGATTTTATGTTATTATAACATGATTTTATCCATTTACAATTTTCCTTTTGTAAAATTTTCTAGATACGCCTGTGTTCTGCAATGTTTATATATGTTTTATTTGTAATTTTATGACGTAATTTTTTTTTTGAATTGATTTGTATTGTATGACATTTTTTGTATTATTTGTATATTTGTTTTTGTGCTTTTTTTTTGTTTTGCTTTGTCGATGAAGCTGTTTTGGCTTTTTGTACAATAAAGCGTTGTTTTTTTTTGTAATAATTTTTTTAAGAATGGCTGAAAAATATATATTTTTTATTTATTTATTAATATCTCCGAAACCTATCGAAATATATTTACTCACATCCCAGGATTATTTAAAATGATCCGAAAGGAAGCCAAAAATGCAATAATATACAGAGTGTTCCATTTAAAACAAATCATTCCGATCCACTCACACTTTTTTGAGCCATATTTTATAGAAGTTAAAATATTTTCCTGAAATACACCCTAGAAGATTCTTTAGGTTTGCACAAAATTCCCAAGTTTTTTATTTTAAGAGCTAGAGATGCCCGACACTCTATTGCCGGACCCTGTATAATTTTTTCATATTTATTAAACCGTTTTTGTTTTATCGTGAATAAGAACGTAAAACCTAAACCGCACTATTTCTTGTTGCTATGTGGTTTATAAAATTTATGTCAGAACCACAATTTCCTGTACTGATGCCCTTATCTAAAAATAACCGACTTGTTTTGAATGATAAACATGTAGGCGGTTGGAATGTGTAATCGCTAGTAATAACAGAATTTATGAATCCTTTGTTAAGAATTATTTTATTTCATTAATATTATTAAATATATTATAAGTATGAAAATAAAGTAAACCCTATTGGTCTTTTATAGATTTTCTTGTAAGTTTTTACCACCTCTAGCCACCTCATACTTTTCAAATTGACTGTCAATTTGACTTGTGTCTGGCCCTAGCAGGCAACTATTAAGCCCGACCAATCACGTGAGAGTTTTTGACAAACACAAATGAATTAACACACTTCAAATAACCACGCTAACCAACCTGATTGGTCAAGCTTAAAAGTTGACTGCTAGGGCTAGACACTTCTGTCAATTTGACATTTGTACAGGGTGGTCAAAGTTGGTCTGTTTTAACAGAGAAAACCTATTTCCTGACTAGATAGAGCAAAACCGACATACATGTCATAGGCTTGATTTCTGAGACAGGTTTAATGGCAGAGACACGTTTTTTTTTTGAGTTTTTGACCATTTTGAAAATCGCCCAAAACTTTTTTTATTTCGGGGAATAATAAAATTTTGTAAAAACGTTCTTGGTTAGGTTTCTTAGGCACTTTTTTAAGCACAATCAAGTGGTGCAGTCAGTTTTTTTCTATACTTGCTCTTCTTTTAGAAATAATAAAAAATGTTATTTTTTAAATAGAAATCATAGATGGCTATGAGCTTAAAAAAATGCTGGCGTTTAACCCTTCCCAATGATATAAAGTTATGAGTATCTATTTCTAAGAATGAGAGAAATATTAAGTGTTTTATCTTTATATCAAAGCAGGTCTTGATTTTTTGTTGACCTATTTGCCTAATTATATGTTTTATCACAATTTAATATTCTATATTATTATTTATGTGCATAATTAAAGATGTAAAAGTAAATTAACATACTATTGAACTAACAAAACTATACTACTGAAATGTTTCTGTGCCAAAAGTTCAACTGAAATTGTTTTATCACCTTTTTTTTTTCGAAGAAAAACTTGCTCGTAGCGACTTTTACCAAGAGACATTTTTACGTAAAAAATCACGGAAATGTATATTTTTTCACTCAGTAATTTTATACAGGAACGGACGAAAAGTTATTACACTTCAAAACAGTTAAAAAATATGTGTTGGCGCCCTTTACAAGTAGGAGTGATATACTGACACTGAAATCAAATTTCTCATGTTAAAAAAACCCAGATACGATTTTTTTCTAAATATTGACGTTACTTCAGAAATTATTTGGAAAAAATCGAAATAAAAATGAAATTAAATCAAATTAAGACATACATTTATAAAAACTTTTTACTTATTTTTATCTGCAGAATATGCTGCTGAAGTTTCCGGAATACAATTCGGACCACCCTGTATAAATAAGCGTTGCATTACAAAAATCACAACTTTGAGGTGCATTTTTTTTGTGCACACCTTGTATAACTCTATATATTATTTAAAAAAGTCTTTAAATTTACCTATACAGGGTGTTTCAAAACAAATGCGAAAAACTTCAGGGGGCGATTCCTTGTTCAAAATAAAGGGTAGTTTGCTTTATAAACGTTGGGTTAAAAGTCAACCATTAGTGAGATATCGCGGTACAAAGATGGCGGAAAAATAATGTTTTTATTTTTTATCTTGAAAACGAAAAGAGATAGACTAATGAAATTTTATGAAAGCATTACGGTTATGAAAACACACTTTCTGGTAATTTTTTCACTTTTTTAAAATGAGTGGAAGGGGTTGAAATAAACTACCCCTATCATTCTGGTTAACGAAATTTAAAGAAAAATCTTATCAAACACATGCAAAAAAAAATAATTTGGATAGTTTATTTTGTTTAGAAACTTTTTTTTCTCTTGTGTTTTTTTGATAAAACTCACCGATATGAAATTAAAAAATAAAATGTAAAGCATTACATATCAGGACAAAAAACATTTTTAGATAAAGAATCTAGTGGGCTGCTGTAATTTTTTTAGGAAAAAAATCTAGTCGGCCGCTGTCACTTTTTAGGATGTTTCTAATATTATTTTATTTGACATTACTCTACTG